AATGGCAAGTACCGCGCCAGTGCCAGCTATAGGAACAAGACGTGGAAAATGTTAGGTTAGTGATCATATCAACAATGATAATAGTGATTATTTATTCCTCTCCATACTACACTGTGTTTGACTTGATAATCAAATGAAGCTAAACAATATCGTTGTTTGAGACAAAAAAACTATTGCTTGGCCTTGCCGTGATTATTCAAAAACAAGTTATCCATCCCGAGAATAACGTATGAAATACAGATCAAGCAAGTATTTGAATCTTGAAGGCTTTCCTGATCACAAAACAAAAATACTTAACTGAGATGTTTATAATTCCAATACTAAACTATAATAAGGTGTATTTATATCTCCAGCATGGGTATGAAATGCCAAATCTGCTGAAATCGGAAACAAATCAGGTATGCGTCTCAACCCAGATAACCAACCGTCACAATGTTGTTTATTCTTGATAACTTCCAGTACATCATTTTTAGTTCCTAGGAGCTAAACTTCAACTTTAGCTCCTAGGAACTAAAATTCAACTTTAGCTCCTAGGAACTAAATATGTTGCCTAGCAACATATTTATTTTTGTGACAGTAATAGAAACGTCAATTTAAGAGCTAATTTTGGTATCAAAATGGACGACTTTTGTGTCGGTTGCAGAAAAAAAGATTTTTACAGTCCACGGGCTTGGATCACTAATAAAAGCTGTAAGATATACAAATATTAAGAATAATGCTGGATGTTCTTGATAGTTTATCAAAGTAGTTGTATAACAATACGTCATTTCATTTAATGTGTTTAATACGTTTATTCATTATTTTTATTACTTTGTAAGTAAATTTTTGCATTTTTGCCCACCCTGTACCAATTTGAAGCAACATATTATACATTTTTGGAATCAGCTCAGCAAAGGCAATTTGGAAATTGAAAAAAAAGGGGGGGGTTCCATTTGAAAAAAATTATGACGTCATTACACGAAAGTGGTTCACCCTGTATATTAGATTATGATTTGAAACAATAGTAAATTGGAATCGAAAATCGACCTGTTTCGGGAATTTCTAATTTTATTGTTCATTTAGCCAATAATAAATTTATGCGTTACTTTATGGACGCACTGTATAATATCAATTGAATCTAATCATTCGTTATTGTTATTCTAATTCATCATAAATATTTTAATAATAAATATCGGCACCTTCCAAATACGTACCATCTCGATAATGTCACATTCAAGGTGGTACATCGATAACAAGAATTGACTGCCACCTTAGGGGTGATAAAAAAACCTAATCTTGCCCTCACCAGTCCAGTCACATGATGATTTTCAGATCATTCTATTTATTTTGTTAACTGCCATTAGTTATCTGCACCTATAAAAGTATTGAGTATTAATAAACCGGTTTCAGATTTTGTTGAATGAGGCTAGTCCGGTAAACTTTCCAAAGTTAACAGTGGAATCCTAGTTATTGAGTTTTTCACGAACATCGACATCCTAGGCAATCCTAGGTTTCAAATTAATAATAATAATAATAATAATAAATGTTTTTATTGGACAGACATTATATCAGTTGATATATATATATACAGGTTGAACACTTAATAAATGCCTGCCAAATGGCAGAGTTCAAATTGCCTGTGAAGACAGGAATTTGCTCTTCCACTCAACCAAGAAACAAACTTTGCTGTCATAATCATATCGCCAAATCCTGATAATCACTAAACAAAAATCACGGGCCTTCAAGTCGAATAAATGTTTTGTGATTCAACAGAAATAGAGAATAAATATGTAAGTCGTACACTCGTATCTTCAGTGAACATGTCGCACATGGACGATGTGTGCTCTTTATATCACTGCTGCAATAAAAGTTCTTACACGGTCCAACCGCAACATGTTTTCTGAAGACGACTGTACGTCGTGTGAACAGATGATGATGTATCAATCGACGGTATAGCAGAATAGTAATTCATACCAACTATATGTAGTATAAGTTGATGAGGGCGTTAATATGTTCAAAGTCACATTAATATACAAGATCGTTACAACAATTTTTCGTCTACATTTCTCCTGTAATTTGGTTCACGAATACATTATTTATCCGTAAATTATTAACAATCCACTAGTAGCCATGAGAGTCAACTTGTCACTGACATTTGACATTTTTAATTGAATTATCAATATGGAAAATCAATTCTTTTTGTGTTGAAAAACATGCTTCCTGAGAGAATATAATGCCGATTTGATTTTTGTTTTGCTAGGCTACGCTTAGTCGGTGGTCTTAGAACTGCCGGCTGAAAACTACCCTGCACTGATGAGAGTCAAAGAGCTCGAAACCAGTATGTATGTGTCTAGCGTGGTCTGGCTGGAGCGAAAACAATAGGCATTCAGGAAATAATCACTTGTATCAGTATTCGTTCATACGAGTCAATGCATAGATTTCGGGAGGATGTAATTCCGAAATCTACCAATGTGTTCATTTCATGAACATTGTGTGGAAATGACTTTGAGCTTTTTGTATTTATTTATCATTACATTCATTGAATCCAAGATTTCACGGGTAATAAACGGGCTTGAAACTTGATGTTTCATTATAAAATGAATCTACATTCTTGATAACTTATCAGTGAAATATTAGCAAACATTTCTTTTTTTTTTATCAAACAAATCAATCCATTTTTCTTCGCTTCTGTAAGTAATTCCAGGTTTTTTTTGTATAGGCGGGCTTGAGATTCATAGTCACGATGTCTAGTTTTCTTCTAGTATTCGAAATCAAAGCTTCATCATAGCCTTGCAGGTCGTATATGCAAGTCTTATAAAATGCAAAACTTCCATTTTTTCGGTCCAATTTGAAAACACTTATATAGGACAATTTAATTTTTTTTGGTATGTTCACATATATGAATCAGCTGCCATTCTTTTGATGTCCTTGAAGTCCTCATAGCATGATTCATGTACTGTGTATGTGGTACCAGTTTTTATCGGTTCGAATGATGCTTGCACACTGATCTGGAGGAAAAATTGAACCAGATTTTTTTTAATTTACTTATTTCCCACTCGATAGTGACGTGGACACAATTGCCTTAATTCTTCAACCTTTTTGGCAAATCATCAGTATTATTTTTCATAACAAATTGAAATTAAGCAAATCTGAAAACATTTGATACAACACCTCTCATTATATTAATCGGAAAAACAGATATATTACCGAAAACATTTAACCTGAAACAATAATGGAGTGGGAAAATATGTCGAAAATAGTTACAACTGAAAATAATATGTACTCTCTTTCTTTAAATTATATCATGTGTGATGATACTTTTGGAGGAAAAGTGTTACATTTCATCATTTCAAGTTATAACTTCATTGAAGGGAAGGATGGTTCCTATACAGGGTGTTTCAAAAAAACTCAACCTCCTTGCTAGGGTAGGTAGAACATTGCAAAATAAGTTGGGTTTGCTCAGTGAACAAATGTCGTAACGGCATCCGTTTTCAAGAAACAAGGAAAACATATTTTTTTACACATTTTTTACGATAATGTCGAAACTACTGGCAACATTGTGATGAAATTGTGTATGGATGTGTTCTGGAAGCTGACACACCGCATGAATTCGTTTTTATATCTGACACTCATAGAGGGTGCTAGTTATACGGTTCGTACCGAGTACTTTTGAACATAACTTTTTTTAGGTTGAATTTTTCAGTCTAAAATCAAAGTGAACTAGAAGAACATTCAATTTCACACCAAAATGATACTCTTGGTAAAACTCGATACTGTGTGCCGTTTTCGAAATATTTCGATTTGAAAATGCTGAAGCAATAACTCTGATTCTGGTATTAGGAAAAGTTTGATAAAAAAATTAGGGACAAAAAACATTAACTCTGTTTTACTGCTGAAGTTATTGATTGAACAAAATCATATCAAAAAATATTTAATTAGATTTGAATAAAAACATCATCTATTTAGAGTTAGTATTCAAAATGTCCTCCGTTTTCACCAATACACAATTCGATCCTTTTTTCTAAAGAATGCATCAATCTTCTCCATGGTTGAGGATCAGCTATGGGATCATCGAAGTGATGTTCAATTCTTTTTTGCAGCTCTTGGTTATCAATAAATAGGTAACAGTCTTTTATAATACTTACTTTCAACTAGCATCACTGTTATACTTCAGCATTTTCAAATCGAAATATCCCGAAAACGGTACACAGTATCAAGTTTTACCAGAAGCATATTTTTAGTGTGATATTTAATGGATTAAAAAACCGAACCTCAAAAAAGTTATGTTTAAAACTACTCGGTACGAGCCATGTAACTAGCGCCCTCTGAGTGTCAGATATAAAAACAAATTCATGCGATGTGTCAGCTTTCAAAACACATCCATAGAAAATTTCAAAACAATTTTGCCAGTAGTTTCAACATGATCGTAAAAAATTTTTAAAAAATATATTATTTCAACACCTTGTATCTTGAAAAGGGATGACGTTGCGACATTTTTTTACTGAGTATACCCAACTTATTTTGCAATGTTCCACCTAACCTAGCAAGGGGGTTAATTTTTTTTAACACCCTGTTTAGTACTCACCTTCGCAAACTTAGTTGCAAACTCAGATGGCACGGTCTTCCCAATTGATATGTCCTAAAATTTGATTCTTCCAGAGAGATACATGTCGCTATCTCTCGGCCGCTTAATGAAGCTCATATGTAATATTATTTTCCATAAAAGTATGCAAGATTTGTGACTCATTCTGAAGAAAAACTCATATGTGAAATTTTAAGTTGTAACCATGAACTCTCTTCTTCCAGATGAACCATATTACGACATTTGATTTAGAGGAGCAGAACAATTATTGAAGTATATTCAAAATCAATTGCAGAATTTACCGCACCTTACGGCGTTGGAAAGTTTGAATAAGTTTCCTTTGAAGTTTGAATCTGCAATTGTTTCTGGATAAACTATGATCATTCTTTTTTCAATTTTATCATTTTGATTATTTTGAATAGGTAGTCGCTTGTTTCAGGCGTCGACTGGCCGGAAGTTGAACGAACTTGTTTCAGCGAGTGGTCGCATCCTGCAGATGCCGAGTTGGGAGTTCAGATCGTCAAGGATCTGCACAGGACCGGCTGCAGCTTATTTTGCGGGGAAGACGGTCAAGAAAATCAAGCATTGCTGAAAAGAGTTCTATTGGCATATGCGAGATGGAACAAGGCTGTAGGTTTGTGAGAACAAATCAATTATATCTACCATTATCTATACCTATCCATAACAGAGAGACCCATTCGGAAGCAGAAATCTCTCATTCATTTAACGATTTCGAGAAACTTTCATTTGAAATTTAGTGGTGGGAAAGGTGTATATTTTGGAGTTAGACGGAGTCCATCTGCTTAAAAAACCAAGGCCCACTAGATAACATTCAGAGGCTGAAAAATCCTTAATCAATATCAGCGATTCTCTTAGAAAAAATTCGTGTACAGGGTGGCCAACGAATACTCCAGAGTTCGATTTCTCTGTTGTCTTGAGAGATACAAAAATAAGTTATGTATCAAAATTGAAGTAATAATCGAGCTTCACATTTCAAAATTTCTTTGAAATACACAGGGTGTTCCGTAAGGTCACAGCACACCAAAGCTATTTTTTTTTCATTGGAACACCCTATATTTTATTTAATTTTTGAATTCTCCCTGAAGATCTGATTTCAACGACCCATCATACTTAGGGTCTAGCAGTGAAAGTTACTGACATATAGTGTGTGCAAAATCGAGATTTTCCAAGTTCAGAATTTTTTTCTGTCGAAACTGTTCATTATTCGTCAAAACGGTTCACATGTACCTATCTCAACTTTTCACTCACTATCAATTGGTGTTCAATTGAAATTGATACAAGGTGGTCAAAAAATGTTAATTTATAATTTGTTTCAATTAAATGTCAATTGAACACCAATTGATAGTAAGTGAAAAGTTGAGATAGGGACATGTAAACCGTTTTGACGAATAATGAGCAGTTTCGACAGAAAAGAGTCCTGAACTTGGAAAATCTCGATTTTGCACACCCTATATGTCAGTAACTTTCAGTGCTAGACCCTAAGTATGATATGTCGTTGAAATCAGATCTTCAGGGAGAATCCAGAAATGAAATAAAATATAGGGTGTTCCATTGAAAAAAACATAGCTTTGATGTGATGTGTCCTTACGGAACACCCTGTGTATTTCAAAGAAATTTTGAAATGTGAAGCTTGGTTATCACTTTAATTTGAATGCGAAACTTTTTTTGTATCTCTCAGGACAACAGAGGTATCGAACTCTGGATTCTTAGTTGGCCACCCTGTACATCACTGGAATAGGCGTCCTCTGAAATAAATTCATACCAAGTTTTATAAGAAAATATCCAACGATGACAAATCTACAGCTCGTCTCATTCCAAACGGCCCCCACAAGAGCTATTGAACGTTCAAAATTTGCAATTGATTTGAATTCACAATTTTTTCGAGGCTGAAAATGAAAAAAATCAAGCCAATCCTATTGAATTGGAATGACGTGATGTTTTTGCATATGGAGGTACGAAAGCATATGGAACATTTATATGAAGCTAGTTTTCTTGCAAGAATATCATTTAAATAAAGAAGTATGGCACTGTCCAACAGGAAGTTCGTCTCTAAAAAACTAATCATATTGATCCAGTGTTGTACGCAGATTGTAAAAAAAAAGCTAATATGGATTCTGGACTTTTCAGCTTCTGAATTTGATCTAGTAGATTGAAAAAGATGAACGCCGCTTAGCTTCAAAATACCCTCCCTCTACATTTCGAAAAACAAATCGTCAAAATCGCTCAACAAATAAAAAATGTATGAGCTATAAATACATACATGCATATATGAAATATGTATCGACGTTTCCAGAAGGTAAAGTACTGATTGAATGATGACAAACATTCGATTGAACAATGGATATACAGGATGTTTCAGAACAGTGGCTCGTTACTAACTTTTTAAAGATATGAAAATATCGATTTGGTTGGATTGTATGGGACAATATAACAATCCATAATGCACGACCGGGGACAAAGTAGCACTATACCGCCCGGTTGTGTGTACATTTCCATAATATTTGCAAAATTATATAAAAAAGATCCTGTATATGATCTCTTTCTATCTTTTTGATCGTTAAATGTTGAAAAAAACGTCAGCAGCCACAAGGAAGTCACGATCATTTAAAGAGACCCTGTATAATTGAATATTCTATTCCTGAAAAATCAAATGCTTTGCATCAACAAAATAAATCTGTCTAAAGGTAGCTATAGGCCGAGAGCTAGGCCTAACAACCCGAAAATCTCATCAAAAGATCAACACTTCATATTATATCACTTGGGTGTTCGAAAACATGAGTGAGAGCTCCAAGTAGGGATCAATGAGGTTAGGTTCCAATCTCAAAGAAAATCAATAGCGAATTTTAAAAATTACGAATTATCTTGAATTCATGAGTTGCATACAAAATATTGAAGGAAATAAAACCAATAACCCCCTTCACACTATCACTAGGGCTGTAATGACATACTGACCCCACCAGTGAAAGGTCGTATATCATATGAACTTTTTTCAGTTTTCGCATCTAATCTTCACAATCTGATACGTCGCCACGACGCTGAGTAAATCCCAATTTAGCCTCTTTGCCTCCCCTACTATTACATTGATCATTCAATCACACCACAGTTTTTACTTGGTGAAGCAGTACCTGCGAAGATCATATTCATGTTCATTATTCAGTTCAATTATGATCAATGGGTTAAATTTAGAAGATTCATAACCTACATTTTCATCACCGAAAAAATCCGATCGAACCAGCTTGATACCGAGCATGATATTCGAGATAAACGCGGATTTGGTATTCTCATTCCATATATGTTTTGATCCTGGAATCTGATTCCTAATTTGAGTGTGCTTTCAATAAATCTGAAACGATATTGTTATTATACGAGTAGAATATCCGCTTTTTGAAATAGCATATAATTTGACTCGTATCCAACAGGTTTCGTTTATTTCAGAATAAAATAGGTCTAGAGTGCTTTCTCATTTCACGTTTTCATTATTCCGATAAAGATGATTCAGATGAATAGAAAAAACGAGCATCATTCGCCAAGTGAATTGAATATCGTAATATTGTAATTGAGTGCCAAGAATATCGCGTTTCTGGGTTTATATCGGCTTGAGTTTTTTTATATCAGGATACAATTCGCAGCACTCGCGGAAAATTAGATTGGATAAGGCAATTTCTGGCTCTACGTGATGTCTTATAAATGAAATGAAGCATCAGGGAAGAGGAAGGTTGGAAATCGGTCTGTGCTATATGTATATAGTTATCATGTGGGATGAAAATATTTGATTTATTTTTACTCATTCAAATGATTGAGATATCGTGTTAGCAATACTGAATAGTTATTTGTTTTACTAGGCAGAAAAGTACAAGATTTAATGCCACGGCTGGCATTTCATAGCCGAGGGTAGGAAACCAGCCAAGGCATTACATCTTTTTCTCTGCCATGTGAAACATATAATTTTTTTTCCGAATTTTTTTCAATTTCACGCGAAGTCCAATTAATAATCCATCCACCAAAAGTCATTGTTAATTTCGATTTCCAATTTGATTCAAATTACTTGGAACGTTGCATAGCAACAAACTTTCTCTGCCTAGGCAGTAAAAGTACACCTTTTCTGCCTGTTGAGTGTCATTGAAAATCCACTTTCAATGTTATTTGGAGAAAGAATAGTTATTTGTTCTACTGGGCAGAAAAATAGTAGATTGACTGCCGCGGCTGATACTTCATTCGCATAGGAATTCAGTCAAGGCAGTCAATCTACATTTGCTGCCATGTGAAACATAGAATTTTTTTCCAAATGATATAAAACCAATTTTGTGTAATTTTCTTATTGAAAACTCCATCATTTTGTGTTCACCCAATGTCAGTGTCAAGTTTGATAACTAATTTCATTAGAATTTCTTGGAACGTTGCATAGCAAAACTTTTCCTGCCTAGGCAGTAAAATAACACGATTTCTGCGTGTTTATCGGCAGGAAAAAGCCACTACACCTGCCACTTAGAGGAAATATTAATTTGTTTTACCATAGGCAGAAAAGTAGTAGATTGACTGCCGCGCCTGATAGTTCATAGCCGAGCGAGCGAGGCTAGGAATTCAGCCAAGGCAGTCCATCTACATTTGCTGCCGTGTGAAACATAAAATTTGTTCTCCAAAATGAAATAAAACCAATTTTGTGTAATTTTTTATTGAAAACTCCATCACTTTGTGTTCACCCAATGTCAGTGTCAATTTTGATTACTAATTTCATTTGAAGTTCTTGGAACATTGCATAGCAACAAACTTTTTCTGCCTAGGCAGTGAAAGTACACCTTTCCTGCCTGTTGAGTGGCAGTAAAAAGCCACTATCCCTGCCGCTTGAAGAAAAACTTTTTTTTCACGAACATTTGCCTAATTTACAGTTGACAGGAGAACTTCATTTTTACACATCTCCTAATTTACAGTTGCAGTTGTAAATTGGAGCCTCACAGTCTCAGTTCTCACAATTTCTCACCAGACTACCAGACATAGGCAGCTTTCATTCTTCGATAGCACGCGATGCGCTGAAACTGTGAGACTCCAATCCACAGTTGTGTGTAAAAAAAATTCTCTCAGTCTAATTCACAGTTGCAACTGTGAATTGAGCAGAAGACATTTCCTCCTCAAAATATCTCCTAATTTACTGTTGCAACTGTAAATTAGTGCTAATTTATAATTGCAACTGGAAATTAGTGCTAATTTGCAGTTATGCAACTGTCGGTGCATGTGATCTTGCCGAAAGCAAACGCTTGGATTGGACTAATAACCTCTGATCAATGATCAACAAATGTTTCAGGAAAACTTTGGAGCTCAATATCTCTTAGAATATTTTGTTCAGACAAAAATGTATTCTTTTACATCGTCTTGTTCTTCCGTCTTCTATCATTCGTGTCATTTATTTTCCCAATTTCGGAATCACCCTGTATATTTGAGTCTAGGAAGTGAGATTGTTACAAATCTAGACCACTTGAAAAGTGCAAAAATTCCGCTTGCGTGGGCATTGCTATGGTTTCAGTTCAGTATAAATCATTTTTGTTTTTTGTTTTTTGAACGCGGAGCTACATGAATTATGAATATTATGATTTTTTAAACGGAACACCTTGTATTTTTTAACATATTTCGATTTGTCGTTATCTAATCTACACAACCATATCTCATGTTTGCAACTATTTCGCCGTGTTGCCAAGATAATTAGAATTATTTGCTGATCTTCGTTTTCAAAATTTTCCTTCAGAATCATGCATGAACTTCGATGATTCTCTGACTATCGCTTTAATGAAATCATAATTGAAAGTTATCCTGCCAGCCGAGGTTGACTATTGCGAATGATAATAACTTTGTTATTCCAAATGGAAAATCCTCCCAGCAAACATCAAATCTCTGGGCGCCATCTTGGCTGGTACATGATTGATCGGCAAATTGCTGGCCATGACTATAGCCCCTGTATGCATTTGACTGACCACGAATGGGTGCCAAGCCTTAACAATCATCCATCAATTGTCATACAATGTATCCACCTCCAAACATTCATTGGTCCATGGAAAGACAAAAAATTGTGATCACTACTAAGAGGTTAAGAACCATTGATCTAAAGGGTCTCAAACAACATATCGAAATGCAAGTTGACCGCAATTATTGCAATTTCGAAAGTAACGTATATGTCTGGCGTATATCTGGCAGTTGGAAGATCTGTGACTATGTGTGTGATATTCGAGTAGATGTGTGATGTGTATGATCCGGCATATAATTCTCTATGTCGAAACAGGTTACTGCCAAGGCTTCAACATGCTGGCCGCCCTCATCCTGCAGGTGACCGAGAAGAGCGAGGGCGACGCCCTCAAGCTGATGGTATACCTCATAGAGGGCGTGCTGCCCGACTCGTACTTCGCCGACAGCCTGCGCGGCCTGTCCGTCGACATGGCCGTGTTCAGGGAGCTGCTGAGAAGTCGGCTGCCGCAGCTGTCGAAGCACCTGGACCTGCTGCAGAACAAGGCCAAGGACGGCAGCAGGAGCTACGAGCCGCCGCTGACCAACGTGTTCACGATGCAGTGGTGAGTACGGCGCAGTGTGAAAATGTCCATGAACAGGCGCTTGTCGGAGATTTTACGGCATCTGGATTTCTTCATTCAAAGGATGTTCTCTCTACATATTGGAGAATAGCTGTGAATGAGAGGTCAGGAGGAACTAGTTCATTGCCTTTATTGGTATGCTTACTTGATCTGGCGCGTGTCGTAAAAAATCTTCCAAATATAAAAGGATATGTTGTAATTCGTAGACAATATAATATAAAGTTGACAGTGATCAGCCATGTCGAAATTGAAAATTCATTCGAACGATTTTGTTTCATATTTTTTTATTGAAACGGTGAAAGTGTGCCGTGTGAATTGAAGGGCAGTTCTTATAGCATTTTGTCTGATCTTTCTGAATCTGATAAAATTTTTCGAGGAAAGTGGTCACAAAGTGAACTTTTTTGACATAACAATGAAACATGAAATTTTCTCAAGTCCGGACCTGGATATTTTTTCATAATATGTTATCTTGAATAGTTTCAGTAGAGATACGTCGCTGCCAAATTTCGGCAGATTACGATGAATGATTTCTGTAATATCGGCCATCAAAGTTATATAGCAATTTCACATAATAACCTCTGTGTCTTCGTTATGGAGGGTCAAAAATGTTTTCATTTATATACATCAATTCGTCTAGATTTTCCCTATATGTGAGTCTCATTCTCATGAAACACCCTGAATATAGGTATATTATGAATGTACCTTCCTATACCTTATTGTACAAGGTATATTATGATACTAAAATAACTTTGCTCATCCACAAAAACTGTGTGTTCGTTTCATTTGAACTCTATGAATTATTTCAATAATGATTCCCTGTTGGAAATGAATCTGGGTTGATGGAGACATAGCAATTTCACGAAATAGCGTTACATTCTACTAACCGCAACATTTTATAGCAGTCATTAGTCAGTCCGTAATTATTACATCCGAATAGAAGTTTATGTTCTACCGATGTCGTTAATGCAAGTTTCCCAATAACAGAGCTTCAGTACAACTTTGCCTTTGACAGATTTTTTTGTTTTCGTCGATTATCTTGATATTACACCTATACTTATACATTTCATCTCATCATTTACCAACACGGAGTGTTCTTTAAACAATTCTCAAAAACCCTTGGTTCAAAAAAATATTTCTTCACGATCGTGGGAGGAGCACTCTTCAGTGTGGAAACGGTTTATTCAAACTTTTTTTGCTCTAGTGTAAAAAGTAATATGCTCTTTTCGCACTAGATCAACAATAACTTCAATTCTCTATTGATTGTGATTTTAAGCAGCAGATGACTTTTTCATTCGTAATTTGAGTTTACATATAGGAACATGGTAACAGTGGCGCCACATTATTATTGATTGATTGTCTTTATTACCCCAAGAAACATAGTTGTTTATAATAGGGATACATAAACAATATACATAATGTTATACATACAATTATGAAATTATAATAAGATATAACAAGTTAAAAAAAAATATGTAAATAATCAGATCATTCACCCCCATAGGACGCCACTGGAATAATTTCTCGAATAATTGAACAAATTCCAGTTACATTAGTAGAAGTAGCTTGTTATCAGAAACAAATCTACCAAATTTCGGAGAATAAAGAAAAAATGGGTTCTTCTCAGAAATTATCTATTAGGTATATGTATATATTTTATCTATGATGGGAAAAGAGTTTGACATTTTATCTTTGTTGACAGGCTATAAAATGTCACCTTACATCGAGATGAAATCTACTAATATTTTCCTTGTATAATATAATAGTTATTTTTGTATCTAGTGCGCAAAATGCAATTCTGGTATGATCGATAACTGACTTTTTTAACGAGGCGCAGCCAAGTCAAAAAATATTCGAGATGACCTAAGTATATTGCGCACGAGTTGCAAACAAAATTTTGTCTACCATCGTCGAAAAATATAGTTCTGAAGTCTCGTCTGAGATATGCCAAGCTCAATATAAAAAATAGTGTTGAACTGGCTTGAAAGGCCTCTCTCTATCCTCCCTAGATACGCACGATGTTCCACGAACATGATAGGAATTTCCTTTCGTGCGGTCCAAGAGATAAAAAAAATATTGTTAAACATTGAGAAATGGATGGTTTCTTGAATGTTAGCTCGATTGAGGATCATAAAGTTGAAATCTATAAATCTCATAAAGTTTACATACAATGCGCGAAGTATGTACTTCTGGCATCGATTTACTTCTGGCATCCATTTACTTCGAGGACTATTTCGCACATGGTGTCGTGGTAACGTAAGAAACTGAAAAAAAGTTTGACTTCGCAATTTGTTATTGATGCGCAAACCTTGTCTTTTTTCTACAGACGTCAAAAAATGACTAGGTTCGCGCATTGATAATAGATTGCGAAGTGAAATTTTTTTCGGTTTCCTACGTTACCATGATACCTTGCTCAAAACAATGCGCGAAGTTAAACAGTACCTACTTCGCGCATGGTTATGTAAAATATATGAGATATTTATATTTCAACTTTATGGTCCTCAACCGAGCAAACATTCACGAGATCATTCATTTCTGAATGTTCAACAATCACTTTGTTCAATCTCTTGGAGCGCACGAAAGGGAATTCCTATCATGTTCGTGGAACATCGTGCGTACCTAGGGAGGATAGGGGGAGGCCTTTTAAGCTAGTTCTACACTATTTTCTATATTAAGCTAAGCATATTTTTACTTAAGAACTATACGTTTTGACGTTCTCAGAAAAAATGTTGTTTGATGCAACTTTGCTCGTAAGGGGGCAACCGAATGACGGATAGAACAATTTTAGAACAAAACAATTTAGAACTTGAGCGCGAAATACTTTGGTTATCTCGACTATTTTTTTAACTCGGCTACGCCTCGTTAAAAAAGTCAGATCTTGATCACGAAAGTAGCATTTCGCGCTCTAGATACAGAAATAACTATTTATTCATTAATATTTGAACGACGATGTTCCAACGTTCGAAGTAAAGTCTTATATATAAATATGGTGGTGAGGGACGAACGGAGAAGAACTCATTTGGATTGTGTTGCGGACAGTCGTCTTGATGGGTTATATTTTGTTGAAATTTTTCAATGTGCAGTAATCAATAACATCAACATTGTTTAAATGGTCACTTTCTGCGAATAAAAGTTAGTAAACATATTTCGAATATATTCATTACAATCATCATTCCAGCTGAATCATCGCGTTATTTATGTTTACTATCAACGTTAATGTTATTAATTTTCTGACTTGGAAACATTGAACGAGGGTATGATATAACACGTTCTTTAAACATAACGTGGAAGGTACAAAGTCTTATGGTTTTCGAAAATTTGTTTTTTTATATATTACATTTCTCAACATTTGCACCCCAATAACGATACAATGGAATGGTGCATCATTCAATACTAGAGTATAAATCTGTTTTGAAAACTAACACAATGGTATTAAATTTTGACTCACTTGAAGACGGCAGCGTCAGCAGCTATCATATCAGATATATAAGCTGTCTTCTTAGTTCTGTGTTACTGTTGTTTCAATATGCACTAAAAGTATTACATTTTTATTTTGTCAGACCGTTTCATTCTTCTCCTGAAGATGCTATCATTCTTAGAAAAACACGTGTCTAGGCGTTGAAAAATCGGTTGAGTTAGAGATTAAACAGTAAATTGTCAATTATTAATGTTAATATGTTGCTTCAAGTCTTCTTCAGAACAGATACCCACTTCAGTATTACAAAAAATTAATCTACCTAACCATAACTGAGGAATATTTGCCTAAATACATATAGTGTCCCTGAAAGGTCTGTACAAAATCTTAGCACATATTGGTGAGGTCAAAATAAGCCGATTCAAAACAACTTACCTCAGTACGAAGTTGCACCAGTTCCGAGATACAGGGTGGTCAAGTTGAAAAATTAAAATCGACAAGTACAGTCGTATTAAAAAAAAGGGTAAAAGTATACTGGAGGGAGAAATTAACGTCATCCTATTTGCGTAAAACGACGGGCTATCGGGAATGAATGTGACAGTAGAGTAATCATATATAGGTTCTCAAAAACACGAAGCATTGGCTGAGCCAATTTTACATAACGAGAACTAGAATGCCGAAATCTTCTATATTTAATACTTGTACGCTTTTTTATTGAATATGACTGTACACTCAAAGAAAATTCTAATTCACTGCCCAAATTCCATTCACGGAGGTAGGAGCGAAAATTTTGTATTAAAAATAATTTAAATATTCCGGTTCAGCATCGAACAATAAAAACCGAGATATCTCGAAATTTGCTTACTTAAGCGGATTTTTACAATGGCACCTTTTTTCCTAAAGATGTTAAAACAATTATTTTCCTTACGAAACTAGCAAGAAACTTCACCAAGAAAAAAGTTATGGCCATTCTAAACCATAAGAAGTGCATTGGTAAGCGCCCTCTAAAGGCCACAGTGAAAACGTGTTGATATTCGGGTTTCACATCTCAAAAGTACCCTGGATACCAATTCTTGAAGTAATGTTCGAAATTGAATGTCGATAACTGCATTCAGTGCAATTATCAATCACAATGACAACACGATCGACTTTGACAACTTCAGATTATTATCCGCCGAATATTTCTCAGACATTGACAAATGCCTCAGAATTTCATGATGAATTTCTCTAGCTCGTTGCTTGGTAACAGCCCTCAACCTTCGGCTTCGAGCTGTCTCCAAGGAACGAGTTTTCGATTGTCATAAAATTATCTCGTTTATCAACGTCCTAAGGATATTATACTACTGAAAATGTTCTTTAATTCTGAAAAAATCGATATTTTTTTTTTCAACTTTACCACCCTGTATCTCGGAAACAGAGCAATGTCGGACTGACGTGAGTTTCCTTAAATCCGATTATTTCGACCTCAGGAATATGTGCTGAGCTTTTGTACAGACTTCTCAAGGTCACCCTGTACAGGGTGGCCAACTAAGAATGCGAGGTACTGTATCTAAGAAACTATCCATCGTAGGGACACGGCAAAAAATTGTATCACTAAAACGCCCGAGAGAAAAACCTGGAAAATATTTTCAAGTTCATCAAATGATCGTTAGGGTGTGTAATTGCAATCTTGAATCTAAAAAATGATTTTTCGGTGAATTCGGCTATATTAACCTAACCTAACAGAAAAATACCTGATTTTCATTGTCAATGAAAATCTGAACCTTTTTTGTTGTATCTCTAAAAATAAAGTGGTGGGGGTATCCGAAAGTTCCTGTGAAAACACCCTGTATCTTCGAAACGACTTAGCCGATTTTGACGAACTTGAGCAAGTTGAAAAGAGCTATTCGGGCTACAAATGTTATGATATTTGAAGCTTTGTTAGTTGCACATGACGCTGCTAGAGGTATTTTTTCGACATTCCGACAAAAATAGTCGATTTTCTCAAAAAAATCAAATGCATCGGCATGATTTTTTTCCATGAAAAAATTGCTCAATGATGCTTTAACAAGCTCGCGAAAACCGCTTCTTGATATCTTGTTCCAAACCTAAAATTTAGGACTTAGAAAAAATTTCGTTAAGAGGTAAGTATAAATAATCCCAACATTGTCAGTAGTTGTACTATACTACTATAACCAGCACAACTTCCAAAGAGAAATATTTTGCATTTTTATGTTGATCATCTGATTTGTCCCACTACTTGAAATAATACGCATATTTTTATTTTATAGAAACGAGGAGAGAAAATCCCGAAAAATCAAGTAAAATGAATGTACCACCTCCTCGATTAACCTACAGACAGTATTTAAAATTGAATTAGTTTACAAAAATAAAAATTCAATAGAGTTCCGTATGGAATTTTCTTTGGATTCAATTTTAGATTGGGAAAAAGATATCGAGATGCGGTTTTCGCGAGACTGTTTAGGCATCATTAAGCAACCTTTCCATGAAAAAAAAAATCATACCGATGCATTTGATTTTTTTGAGAAAATCAACTATTTCTGTCGGAATGTCGAATGAATCTCTCTAGCGGCCACATGTGCAACTAACAAAACTTCAAATATCATAACACTTGTAGCCCAAGAATAGCTCTTCTCAACTAGCACAAGTTTGTCAAAATCGGCTGAGCCGTTTCGAAGAAACAGGGTTTTCACAGGAACTTTCGAATACTCCCCACCACTTTATTTTCAGAGAAACAGCAGAAATTATCGAACAAAAAAAGGTCCAGATTTTCATCGACAATAAAAAGCAGGTATTTTTTTGTTAGGTTAATATAGCGGAATTCACCGAAAAATCACTTTTTAGATTCAAGATTGCAGTTACGCACCCTAGCGGTCATTTGAGAAACTTGAAAATATTCTCCAAGTTCTTCTCTTGGGCGTTTTAGCGATACATTTATTTGCCACAAGTCCCTACGATAATAGTTTCCCAGATACAGTACCTCGCATTTTTAGTTGGCCACCCTGATTTCAAATTAGTTTCCTTCCATCTCCGTGAGACTTTGCATCGACCATTATAACACTTTGTATAACTCAATGTTTCTTTTTTGCAGGTTTCTGACTCTCTTCTGCAACTGTCTACCCCATCCGACTGTACTGCGAGTGTGGGACCTGATACTGCTAGAAGGTAACGAAATCCTGCTCCGGACAGCTCTCGCTATCTGGCAAGTACTTGCCGACAGAATCCTCAGTGTACGAAGTGCTGACGAATTCTACTGCGTCATGGGTGTGCTCATGAGAGAATTACTTGAATTCGACCTGATCGATGGAAATTCCCTCATCAAAGCCATGGTGGCAATTGGTCCTCTCACAGAACTGAAAACTCTCAGGGAACATTATTTGTACAACATCAACCCCTGGGGCCCAAGCTTGCCACAGGTCGTAGACAAGCAGCTCAAGCTATACTCAAAACAAAGCATCGCCTTGGATATAAGCGCTCTGAAAAAGCAATACGGCAAGCTCAAGCAAAGACAGCGGCAAGCGCATATCATCTTCAGCGCTGCTATCTCAAGGCAACCTGCCCCTGCGCCACCAGTCACCATGAACCATTTGTTGATTGGAAAAAGCGCCCTAGTACCAGCTAAGAGGCTAGGGCCACCAAAAGGTTCTATTCCCCCTGCCAGACAAGCCCCGAGCACCCTACACTGGAAGGACACGCCAAAACAGACCTCCAGCTCCAGCTCAAGTGATACCGAATTGTGTGACGAAGAGTCAGCAAGTTCTGATGAAGAAGACATAGAAACAAATAAATTCGACAATCTACCATTAGAAAGTGATACAGATCTTATGAGAAACGACAATACATGTGCCAGTATAGAAGTAAAAGACAACCCAACTAGTCCTAGCCAAAACCAACCGACTGAAATCCCCATAATTAGTGAGAGTTCCATGATCTCGAAATCTGAGTCAGACGATGAAAATTTTGAATTCGAGCAGTTTTTGGCTGACCGTGTTAAATGCCTTAAGGTGACTGAAGACGAACAAGAGGAGAGAATCAACTATGCGAGGAGGAACAGCTTGAGAGCCCTGCAAATTATTCAGGAGAACTCGATGATTCTACACCGAATTTTACAATGCCAGTCACGTTTATCGCCATCACCACCCCCTATTCATAATAGGGATGCAATGGGGGCGGATAACGTTTCCGATGTCTCAGGATGTTTCAGTTCGCTTTCAGTTAGCGACGAAACTGGAATTGACATGGCTTTTGATGGCCAAGAATTGCATAGAAAGATCGATACAGAGGACAATGGAGTTGATTCAAAGGATTTAAAGTCGCCTGAATATGGCTCGAGATATAGCAGTATATTAGAGAAGAGTAAGAGTTTAGATGAGAAATATAATGCACTGATATTGAAGAAGCCGTCAGTATCTAAAACTACTGAGGAATTGAGTTCTAATATAGACAAAGTTATTTCATATTCGAATCAAGGAAAGCTTGAATCTTCTAGCTCAACAGAAACGTTAAGTTCATTAGCTAGCTATGACACAACAAGTAATTTAGTCATTAAAACAGATGGTAACTTACCAATTCTCGTGGAAGAAGTGAGTCTGCCAGACTCAAGATGTACGTTCAAGAACGTGGACAGTGAAAATATGTTCCCATACAATGAATATGGTGAAGAAGCTATGCTGTCAGATTATAGTCAGCTAGGAAGTCCACATAAATTAGTGGATACAACCGGGAAAACACATTCTGAACCAAATTCGAATGGAGGAGTTGATGGAGAACGTCAAGTCACGCTGTCTAAGTCTGATGATCACTTGGACAGCGCAAACAAGAAACCAAATTGTAGTGAAGCATTCATGCTGAAGAATTATGATGATATTCTTGAATGTTCATTCCATCCAGATTATTCCAAGACCCATGACCTCACAAGACCCAAAGAAGGTAATGTAGATGAAGATAAAGATGATTATTTTCCATACAACAGTAATGGTTCGAATCCTGAAAGTTGGCTGTCGAATTTGGAGAATAATACTGAGAAATCTTTTCCTTCGACTAGTAGACTAACTGAAGATTCTGATTTTGAAGTTTCCACTTCATTATCTCAGATCAACTCGACAGAATTTGGGTCGAGTTCCTCGAATACTGCTTCAAAAATTGAGTCCTTTGCAGATTTCAGCAATATAAAGTTATCAACACTCACAAAAGAAGATCGATCCGATTTCCTACCAAGAGATACTGAAAATTCTAAACATTTTCCATTGATTGATGACCTTGACTTTTTCAACAACATAGCTGATCCGAGTCCACAAATATCTCTAAATGAATTCGGTAATGACATCTCGAAAGAAAATTCTGAGTTGAACAAAGATGCATCATCTCCATCATGGAAAAATTGTATGAACACCTCACAATCCGTTAGCGATGAAAGGAATAATTATGGAGATATTGAAGCAGAAAAGGTTTCAACAAATTATTTACATAACTTTCTACCTGTATCAGGAAAAAACATATGCACCAGCGAATTGGAAAATAACGGAATTCATGCCGATCGCTGCAATATTGATGCAAATGTGCAGGAAAGAATAACACCTAAGACTATATTCTTGTCTCCTGATCGATCTCCTGCAAGATCAACTGAACATTCAAGACACCCCTCATTGTCAGAGAATCCTGCATCAATCAAAGCTACTACTGAAACAGATCCATATTATTTGCCATCACCATCTGTGAGAGAATACCCCTCGAGAAGTACTTCACCATTCATAAGTAATGATTGGTACAGTACCGAACGAAATAATAAGAATCTTGGACTGGAAGTAGTTGCAGTGGGAGGTAGCTCGAACTTGAGGTCTCCTTCAAGGCCAAAATCTTTATCTCCTCTGGCATCTCCCTCAATTGCAACCTCAAAATCACCGAGCAAATACTTCAATCCATTTCCCGTGCCACTAGGTTCTAGACAAACTAAAGAGGTTCCTATGAAGTTGGGACTGTACAAGAAATGATGGATTGTGGAGTTCAATCCCGCTCAGCAATACCAAAAACTCTATTTCGGCAATCTAGTTATTCAATGCTGAAATATGTCCTTTACTATATTAGTAAATCTCAGATATTGTATATTATGTAAGGTAATCAAAGTATACATTGAGGTCTAATCAAACTTTCATTGTTCAACTCTTTTCTCGATCAATTATTACACTTCTATAAATAATAGATGATAAATTGTTCAGTGTTAGTGAAGAATTGTTGTTCCTTCATGTATTGTTGCACTGTTTATTTCAGCAAATCGGTTAATACTGAAGGTGCCTTCATCAAATCCAAAAATATATCTATTTACTTGAAATATAATCCTGATGAGTTTTTTCCGACCCGAAATATTAGATAAATAGAAAATCAAAATTATACAATAAAATCAAATTATACCGACTAAAATCCCACAGATATCTGATCAGAATCCATTGAATTTCGTTTCCATAGAATGTAAATATTTCATTGTTAAGATAGTTGATAAGTGAATATCCTCGTTGATACTATTTTGCGCTGTGCCAGGTCCGTTCGTTCTAAAATATTTGTAGAAAATAATATATTTCCGTAAAAATTGTTATTTGAAAATATATAACGTTACCTCAGAATTGTCTTTTTCTTCAAAAATCACTCAGGTGAAGGAATTTCTGGAAATATTCAAAATAATGCATGGAACTGGATTCAGTTTGCTTTTTTATCTCGAATTTTTTTATTCATAAGTATGTACATTATTCATAAAATTAATTTGTAAGGCGGAAGCATAATATGAACATCTCATTTGAACATCAGAATACATGCATATATTTTGGGAAGGAATTGGGTATCAACAGAATAAAACAAAACTGGATAGCTGATGATGATGTATAGTATGACTAGATTATTATATCTTGATCAGTTGATACCCATTATAAATGACTCATCCTTGATAGTAATAGACCGAGAGGTAAGTGACAAAAAAATGCAATTTTGGTATGAAAGTTGTTAATAATATAAAAAATCAAGAAAAACATAGTCAGCCCGAATTTTTAATCAACATACGCCATCAGCAGTCGATAGAACATACGCTCATCAGTACAGGCTTTTATTCAATGATGAAATGAAGGTTTCTTAGAAAAACATATTGAAAATGTACTCAAAAAGTATTGTTTTTATTATTCATTAAAAAAATGTTCATTGATGAAACAATATTCCTAAACGCCGAGCTGCGCCTAGGTGGTTCAAGAACGCGTGATTACCAGCCGGTTTCAGGGCTGTCTCAGATAGAATTCTCTACCGCTATCTGGTGCGAACCTGACCCAACGTAAACGCATCTCAGCATTTATACCCCACGAGGTGTTCAACGTCCGTGAAATGAATGCGAACGCCGAACGCCACCTGGCAAGCGGTAAAATAAAAATTCGGGATGGCTATGGTTTTCTGATGTTTCTTATTATTAACAAATTGTATGCCAAACTCAACAATTTAGAAAACAGTTTCACCATCAGTCATACGTTTATTATGTACTTCGCCACGGTGATGACGCGTTTCGTGAAGATATTTTGAATTCTGGCGGTATCCACATCATTTTTTAGTTAAATCACTATTCAGAAATTAATTTTCAAATTTTAGCGCAAATCGCTTACGAACTGGTTGACAGGCGGCAGGCTATTGCAATACATTCTAAATAACGGGATATCGGAATATCAGACTTCAGGAAACTGATGCAATTTTTTACCACTCATTTCTCCGTCTAAAAGTAGTACAAATGACGAATCACGAATGAATTCCCTATACTTATATAAATCTCAAATCACTCCCAACCATTTTTAATAAAATTAGTTATAATGGGAAATAGAACCTCAGGAAATCTGAACTTCACTGACCAATTATCAGTTCATCCAATATGGGAGGACATGTGCAAACCAAATGTTTATCACCATAAATATCATCAATCCTTGCTACTGTTGGCCATACCTTATTCTCAGGCTTGACAAACGGTGCAGGAAACGCAGCCTGCTCTCTTGTATAAGGCCTCTCCCACGAACTACTTATCACTTGCTCTTGAGTATGCGGAGCCATCTTCAGAGGATTTATCCTAACGTCAGACCTGCCTTCTTCAATGTCCCTTATCTCCTCTCTGATTGAAATCAGTGCTCCACAAAATCTGTCAAGTTCTTGTTTGTCTTCGGACTCTGTGGGTTCGATCATCAAGGTACCAGCTACCGGCCAACTCATCGTAGGGGCATGAAATCCATAGTCCATGAGTCTCTTAGCAATATCAGCTGCCTCTAGATTCGCGGTCTTCTTGAACCCCCTAGTGTCTATGATAAACTCATGTGCGACTAGGTTGGAAGTAGAACTCCTGAACAATGTATCATAGTAGGGCTCTAATACTTTGGACATATAATTAGCATTCAATATAGCCACTTGGGTTGCTTTCCTTAGTCCTCTTGGTCCCATCATTTTGATGTAAGCCCAAGAAATAGGAAGGATAGCACTCGAACCAAAAGGTGCTGCACTGACAACCTCAAAAGAAGTAGAATTTGCACCTAGTGGGTTGACAACTGGATGTCCAGGTAGAAATGGAGCTAAATGAGACTTGACTCCAATAGGACCCATACCCGGACCACCACCTCCATGGGGAATACAGAATGTTTTGTGGAGGTTCAAATGAGAAACATCACTCCCATAATCACCTGGTCTACACAGCCCTACTTGAGCATTCATGTTAGCACCATCTAGATACACCTGGCCACCGTTCTCATGAATTATATCGCAAATATCACCAATGGTTTCTTCAAATACTCCATTAGTTGAAGGATAAGTGATCATTAAACATGAAAGCTTGTCTCTGAACTTTTCTGCTTTGGTTTTAAGATCATCAACGTCTATGGTGCCATCTTGTCTAACTTTTACCGGTTCTACTTGCATTCCAGCCATCTGGGCACTAGCTGGGTTCGTACCATGGGCACTCACTGGTATAAGACAGACTTCCCTGTGCTTTTCGCCTTTGGCTTCGTGGTAACATTGTATGGCTCTCAGGCCTGCGAATTCTCCTTGAGCTCCACTATTAGGTTGGAAGCTTATATTATCGTAACCTGTGATGGTGCATAAGTCTTTTTCTAGTTCAGCAAATAGTTGGTGGTAGCCCTGTACTTGTTCAACGGGAGCAAATGGATGGATATCGGTGAAATGTTTGAAAGAACAAGGCATCATCTCAGTAGTTGAATTTAATTTCATGGTACAGGAACCAAGAGGTATCATACTATGGACCAAGGAGACATCTTTGTTCTCAAGCCATTTCATGTACCTCACTATCCTAGTTTCGGAATGATGGGAATTGAATACCGGGTGAGTTAAAAATGGGGATGTTCTTTTGAATTCACTTCGAGTGATAGATTTTTCTCTAACCATTGGATTTTCAACGAGATTTTCTATCTTCTGCATGCTGCCGAAGATGTAGAATATGTCATTCACGTCGTTGAAGGTCACAGTTTCATCTAATGCTACTCCAACTGCCTCATCACCAAAATATCGTATATTTATTTCCTTTTCGAAAGCTCTTGCCCTGATTTCTTCTATTTCTAGTTTTGGATATATTTTCAGGGTATCAAAGAAGCATTGATTGGGTATAACGTTGCCATCTTGTTGCAAACCATGGTGTAAAACCTGAAAGTACAATTTATTTCACAATTATAAAATGATTATTTGGATATACCACCTACCAATGTCAGATTATGTACTTTGGTAGCAATGTCTTTCAGACCTTGTGGTCCATGGTACACAGCAAACATTGCAGCCATGTTAGCTAACAAAGCTTGGGCTGTACAGATATTACTTGTTGCCTTGTCTCTTCTTATGTGTTGTTCCCTGGTTTGAAGTGCTAGGCGGTATCCATCTCTACCTGCAGCATCTCTTGTGACTCCTATCATTCTACCAGGCATCAGCCTCACCTAAAATGATGGTTTTCAATTCATTGTTCAAAGTATGATATCGGAATAATCTTACTAATGACTGATTGCAAGCAAAGAATCCAGCATGCGGGCCACCATATCCTAGAGGAACTCCCAGCCTTTGAGAGGTTCCTATTGCTATGTCTGCTCCAAATTCACTAGGAGGACGAAGAAGAGTTAAACTCAAGAGATCTGTTGCAACACAGACCAGTGTACCTGAATTATTAGAAACATCACTATTTTCGACATATCATTTAATCGTTATGCGCCGTTCCTACCATTTGAATGGGCATCATCTGCTAAAGCGCTGAAATCCTGAACATTGCCTTCAGTATCTGGATACTGAAACAATACTCCTGCTACATCTCTATTAGAAAAATCGGCTTCGAAAACATCGACAGTTTCCACAGTGAGTCCAAGCGATTGACATCTAGTTTCTATCACAGATATGGTCTGGGGATGTAGCAAATGCGATACTAGCAGTCGTCTTCGCTTATTTTGTCTGTAGCATAAAGATAGCGCTTCAGCTGCAGCAGTGGCCTCATCTAGAAGAGAAGCATTGGCTACTTCTAGACCAGTTAGTTCGCTGACCATGGTTTGGTAGTTCAGGAGGCCTTCCAAACGACCTTGAGCCACCTATAACATGTGAGACATTTTGAGTAGGTCTGTTAAGCATACATGCATTGAATAGTGTAGGATTCTGTCACCAAATGGCAAGAAGACAGAGAAGAATTGATAATATGGCATGAGTGTTTCGACTGTTTGGTTTCATACGATTCACAACAATTATTTCCACCTGATTTAGCAAACACAGCGAAATGATATTCGGGTTTGCTCACGGGGGGCGACTTTTTGAAGTTTATAGTTTCTTGACTGAATTGTGATTCTGCCCACATTTGAAGAAAGATCTATATCGCATATTGAAAGAAATGATTCATGAAGAGTTCATATTGAAGCTGTGCAAACAATGTTCCGGAAAGTTCCCTTAGAATCGATAGATGAAACACTCTCTTAATGGCGAAAAACCACACAATGAGAAGTATTTAATTCTAGCTGCTTCTGTTACTCTTCCCACAAAACATAGCTCAGAAGAACATAAAGTGTTCGTCATGAAATTCTGCACAAAAAAGTTACACTTTCAGCTCCTCTTCCACACGACTCCCAACATCTAGCTATCAGTGAGAGATAATAGTAAGGGAGCCCAAGCGGAGTTTTTTGGATTTACTCCAGCGCGGAAGAATATCATAAGGAGGTAACCTTGCACTTTGTGGAGGTCTCCCACCATACCTGGGCTCTTTATATATGGTGTTGAACGTCTAGGAGAGCCAATAAGATAAGTAACAAGAATTGATCGTTGGAAAAACTCGAATGCGCATTTCAATGTTCTGACAATTTGAGCCTGACATGAGGACATAGGAGAGCCACAAAGTTGCAGAAAAAAACGTCGTCTGGACATTCACGAGCGCACTTTTCTTTTAAGGACATTATTCACGGATCACGGAAATAAGTCTGCCGATTTGCACAAATCGAAGTAGTAAAAATCATAATTCAAGTGTGCGTGCGTGCAGCCTCTAGAAACTACGTTTTTCTCACTTCGCATCACTCTGCTCTTCCCACTCTTTCTTCAGCTCTCACTCTCTCGCACTTACAGATCACCCAATATCCAAAGACTTCCCGCCAGAACCGAATTTATATGCCCATGTCCAAAAAAACGATTGCACTTGTTTTGAACTGTTCTACTTGAATATGTAAAAATATACAGTGTGTTCCATTGGAAAAAAACGAAGTGGCAGGCATTTCCAGAAAAACCGGACGTACGCTATATTGGATTGTAGTGGGATGAAATCCAAAATGGTTACTTATACAGCTCTACCAAATTACAGAAGAATCCGTTTTACGAAAACAGAAGTTACAGGGGTGGCTCGATACCCTTTGTGTAACCCGATATGCCTACATGGGCTTTTAATCCTGAAATTGTGAATCCTCTGGATATATTACAATTCAGTTATTACATCCAGTAACAAAAAAAACTCCAACCGTCAAATTGAGGAAATAATCTGACGCGCTCGAGTATTTCAAGGTCACAATTTTTTTTCTTTTTCAAAAATTGGTGTTGACTTTTGTTCGCGTCCAAATCATCAGTCTTTTGAAGGGAGGAGCTAATTTTTTCCTATACCCTACCCCCTTTGTACTGCCACCCCCATGCAAACCGACAAATCAATATTTTTCGGTTTTCAGAATCACGTGGGTCAAATACACTATTAATATCTGAAGCGCTCGAGTATTTCCTTTTTTTTCACTTGTTCCTTTAACGTCGACCTTTTTCTGCTACTGAGGCTAATCCGACGCCGGTGAGCACACTACCCCCAACCGGAAATTTTGCCGAATCCTCTGGAGGTAGGGATCTTTAACGAGTCCAACATCCATGGCCTCGGGACCGCCAGCTTAACGTCCCTTCCGAAGGACGGCATATCCGTACCATATCTTGTGCTCATTGATATAGTAGCTATAGCTTTGATATGCTATTTCGCTACAGATGTGCACGTTTACGCAGCGTTTCCTTGAATGGTCACCCATCCATCAAGTACTAACCGCGCTCGACACTGCTTTACCTCAGATATTGAACGGCAAGTATTTGTATTGAAGTCGTTTATTCATTTTCCTGATTTGTTCACAACACATAATTACATCCACATCGTATATATAAAAGAGTTATGTACCCGGTGAACAACTATATGTTGCGGTTTTTGTTGGTCTGTTGAGATTTAGTTTCTCTATTACATCGTGTAATGATCTGCATACTATATTTGATTTATTCTATCTCAAACTTGTATTCGTCGCTGAGATATGGCCGACAGCCGTTTTTAGTTGTTCATGTTGAAAACTGTATATATAGAGTCCTCCGAGTGCGACAGAGGTGGCTGGTGTTGGCCAAAGGAAAGAATGTGGGTGCATATGTGGAGTGTTCTTCACAGAGGCTTATCTCCTGGGGCTAAGCTAAGTGATTTCTCTGAGGATACCCAATGGGTGGGGGAGTTGCTCAATCGCTATACTATATCAGTGATGAGTGTTGTGTTTATGGAGGAAAAAAAATCTTGAAACAAAAAACCTCTTTCACGTGTGGCTCGGCTAGTTCCTTGCCTAAGAACCTAAGAAGCTAGGGCAATTCTCCAGTATTTCTTTTTGACTGATTTTTTTTTTTTCATTTTGGAAAACCTGAACACGCTCACCCACCAGTGAAAGGGCATACCGCAAACTTTTTTGTTGTCTTCATAATCTGATAGGTCCCTCTAGGACGCTCGAGTAAATCCTTAGGTATATTCAACCTCTTTGCCACTTCTACTATAATTAGATGCTTTAACAATGTTTTTGGATATCTTGGTATCGATTCCTTCAGCAAGAATTATCGTCATCATATTTTCAGAAGAAATCAGAACTCGAAGATTGTGTAGCCGCAATGTCAACTTATTATTATTATTTGTTTCTTCTTTTCGGGAATTTTTGATCTCATTTATTCAAACGACAAAATGATCTTGCTGAGTCAAATGGGGTTGTCATATTTTCGAAAACAATTAACATAAAGAAACAACTATTATATCATGCCAAATTCATGACTATTACCATTGGCCAAGATACTGATTCACACTTTCAGTCTTACCTCTGGTTGATATGGTGTATACTGTGTTGTCCAACCAGGATTTTCGAAAATGTTTCGCATTATGGTGTGTGGGACACAGCAGTTATGATATCCCATCCCGATGTAAGATCTCCAGATCTTATTTTTCTCTGCTATTTCTCTGATTCTGTTTATCAGTTCATACTCGCCTGTTTGCCAAACAAAATGATTACTTGGTGTTTATGATACAATCCAGTCGATAAACCGAATAAACCGATAAACTGACCCCCAGCGAGTTGTTTATCAGTTTATCATTATTTTCTTCGATATGATGAATTCTTTGTTCTCCTGTCGTCCAGTGGCGTATTAGTGGAAGAACTGAACGCCCTTCCAGAATATACAGGGTGTCCCGAAATTAGCCTGTCAAACTTCACCAGCGGCTGTTACTATCAAAAACATAAAGAAAACTTCCAATGAACATGAGTCGAGAAATGTCTCCTATGCAAGCTATGGCCCACTGAAAGGGAGCTCCTGAAGATGATATTTCTTGAGTATTTCCGAAACTCCATGTGTTAAAAAGATGCAATTTGGTACAAGAACCAAACTTTCCATGCCCAATGCAGTGAGGATTAAATCATTCCAAAATTCCAATCAGGAGTGTATAATACAGGGTGGGACTACATTAAATATCGCTCAAAATTTTTGGATGCATATTTTACGACAATTTAATCTCGGATTATGAAATTTCGCACCGCTTTACAGGAAAAAGGTACTATTATTCCGTGACGATCAGATGTATATTATCGAGTAAAAGCAATTTCAAATATATTGTTACATCTCAGATATTATGCATAACATTGCAATGAGGCGTAGTCATTTTTCTATTTCTCGCGCTTTTACAAGATTGTTTGGTAAAAGGAAAGTACTTGATTTTTTTTATAGCGACTATGATTTGAAAATTGGCAACGTTATGCATAAGATGTGGGTGCATCAATATTTTTAAATCCATTTCACTCGAAAATGATACATCTAATCGATGCGGAACAAGAACACCCCTTTTTTTGTCAGACGTTGTGGATTTTCATAATCCGACATGAAATTGTCAAAAAATATGCATACGAAAAAGTTTGAGCAATATTTGATGTAGTCCCACCTTGTATGATACACTCATGAATGAAACTGTGAAATGATTCTATTTTAGAAAGTTCAGTTCTGGTACCAAATTGCATAATTTTATCACGTGGCGTTTCGGAAATATTCAAGAAATATCATCTTCAGGAGCCTTTTTCCGTGGCTCCCTTGGGAGACATTTCTCGACTCATGTTGATTGGATCTTTTCTTCCTATTTTTGGTCGAAGAAGCCGCTGATAAAGTTTGGCAGGCTAATTTTGGGACACCCTGTATATAAGAATCAATAAGACTAAATGAAAGATGGGACTGAAAATTTTTACATCAAAACAGAACTCGACCTCCAATATCCATCATAGATTTTTTTGCATAAATACCGTAAGCAGGAGATATTTTGCAAACATTTTCAGAGATTCTGTATGTTAACTTCCCAATTAGACCTAATGAAAACTATTCATTCATATATTTTACAATATACATAATTTCATGAACGTGTCCATACTGTTCAAAATGAAGTGGTGAAATTTGAAGAAAGAATAAATTCGAAATCATCTCCACGACATTTGAATGATTTCGAGATTTATTCTTTCTTCATATTATTCAATGTTTCAGTACAGGTTCTGCGAGACTTTTTTTCATTTGAGCAACAAAATCTATTCTTAACCAATATCGAGACAAATATTCATCCTATAAATTGGTGACTTCGCCACCATAACATATTTTCAAGAAATGTTAATCATCAGAGAAAAAAACAAAGGAGGAAAAGACAGAATAATTATTTTTATAAGCCTAACGTAGGTACTTAAAAAATGTGAAATGAAACCCTTGGTGAGATGGAAACATTGGCATCAATAAAAACTGTGGGGAATATACAGGGTGTTCCATTTGAAGAAAAAAAGTTGCTAGTTGTTTTTGATAAAAGTGGCAACAGTGTATCGATGAAAATATTTTAGACGGATAGAGAATGTTCAACTATTGAAGCATTCCAATTTTCAGAATGTTCTGTCTTTTCGTTCTCCAAATACTTCTAATAGGCCATCCACCGTGGATCACCCTGTATATTCAGATCTACTCCGAAATAAATGTATATACCACGATATAGGCATAGATTGAACTGATATAGGCATGTGGTTCTAGAGGAGACAATATATTTTATAGAATGGCGTTCGTCATCTTTTACTGATGATACTTCACCTGATTTATAATATGAAGTCATCCCAGATTTTTTTCCGAATAATGAAAAATCTATTTTTTCAATAAATGAATCAGTCGACAAATATAAACGAAAATTTGAAAACGTTCTCTCAGATGAACGTACTATATATGCCCTATAAGTAGGTAACGCATATAGGTAACGCAAAATTAACGCAAAATTAATGCGAATTAAAAAAATTATAAAAACCATTTTCATTCAAAATTGTCTTACTTAGGCGAAGGGGTTGGACAATCAGCTAAGAGATTTTGTCATCCACGTTTACACGTTTGATGGTCTCTTTCATTACTTATTTTGAAAATTTCAGAAGTCATTGGTTTTTCGTTCGGAAACTATAAACGTAAAATGTGATTTTTTGTAGAGGTCGACGAGGAAGATGTTTCTTTCATCATTCCAAATATGTATCAATCTTTATTCTATTATTTATAAAACGAGGATTCAGTAATTGAAAGTGTTTGGCTCTACCCGAGATGAATTTCCTGATCGCCTATTATAGAAGATGATTCATTCTTGAATGTTATAACATCTTCTGAAATCAAACGAAAAATAAATCATCCCGAAATAAAATAAATCTGTGAAACATGGTTTCTATGAATAATCGTAGCATATCGTAGTTGCCGTTGAAATAGAAATAAAAAATATACGCCGTTTCCAAGATGAGTAGCTGAAAAACATCGCCGACTTTCATTTATATATTGAAAGAGATACTCACTATTGGGTTCTTCGATATCTAATGGTCTATTCAATCTTATTCTCTTAGGAACCGCTTTTTCAGTGAGTTCGTCCAAGCTCTGAAAAAAAAAGTAAGAAGGTAGCCAAAAGAATATTCTGCTATTTAATTACTCTTTTAATTTTTTAGACTGACCCGAGGTATATATTAGTTATTTATACACCGAGGTATATAGTAAAGAATATCATTATTACCCAGGGAACAACATTATATCCCAAGGCTTATGCCGAGGGGTAAAAAGTCCCGTGGTAATACTATTCTTTACTACCAAGGTTTCAATAAAATATTTGTCACCAGTAGCAATATATATCATCTTCGTTCTGTGAAACCGAAATATGGACCTATTCTCACTATATGAAAGCACTTATTTTCAATACTTGGCCATGACCATGACAGCATATGACAAGTCGTTGTTGATAAATACCTACTAGATTCGATTGCCATTCCTGCGAATATCTGATCAGAACAGTGAACTCGGTTTAATTATAACAGAGGTGGCTATGCCTTTATTGACTAGTGGTTTATAAAATAACGAAAGCTACCTTGGTAGTAAAAAGAGACTTTATATACGCCTCGAAAAGGAGTAGATAATGGTAGGTCTTATAGCTAGTGGTGAAAAAAATATTTTTTAATAATAACACTGAAAAATCAACATATTGTATCAATTCAGATCTTCATTGCCATTGAAGGATGTCATCCACCATGTGAGAGCACAGAGTATTTTATGAATATTCTGACAACGTAAGTAAAAATTATATTCACATATTTCCTGATCAAACTGCCGAAAATTGCATTGGAAAAAAGTTGGGGGAAGAAATGCCCACGCCTCTGATCAAAATTTCAGAAAATTCTCAATATTTTCAAATTGGGCAAGGAAAGTTATGAACATGTACAAAATTTCGTTATCTCAACACAGAGGGTTTCGGAGCTATTTACGTGAATCCATCAACTCGGACTCCCCTTTAGATAGCTATATAACTCCCGAGGGGGACATTTCTGGACCCATGTTTACATAAACTTTCTTCACCATTTTTGTTTCTACAATCTGTGGTGGAAATCTTTTTATCTAATTTCGGGACACCTTGTATATTATCCAAAACGCAAATCTTAAATGGTCGAAATCGATATCTTACCTTAAATCCTAAAATATCCAACATATTTATAACATCACTTTCTCTAGGGCCAATATGTCTGGAGGGAAATTCATCTTTATGTGGAAATAAAGGACCTTCCGGCCTAGGAGGTCCTGCACTCAAGCATTTCACACTATCAAAATTAACATATTTCGATAAATACTTGTTACTTCTAAATACAATTTTGTACATTGTTTCACAACAGCAGATATAGAATATAATAGTAGGATGCGCTACAATATACTCATCGATTGAATTCTTCAGAAAAATAAAGATTTCATGTTCAAGTGAATGATTATTTATGTATCGATTATTGCTCGTTACAGATTGAGAAGAAATTGAGAAATTCACAATTTCAATACATGTCAGGGTAGAGGTCATCCGCTAATTAGAGATAGGAGAGGAGATTTGAGTTTATCTCTGATGGAACCAAATGATCTGTATGACATTAAAAAAATAGTTTTTTAACGACTGCTTCGATATATTCAAGGAACGCACTTAGCATGAAAATGACTTATTTCACAAAGAGTTTGAAGAAGAGATATATTCAAATTATTGTTCAAAGGATGAAAGGATATAACTGATGGCAGTCCTCATCATCGTTGTTCTACGGTCCTTAGATCTTGAAAAGGAAGAAATTCGAAAGAGGGAGGGTTCAGGTCCCACACACCCCAGGCAACCAGATGACGAATGATTACGTCAATGTGACGTCCTTAACTGGTGATTTTTCTTCAGAGACGTCACACACCAATTTAAGCATCACTATATATGACGTACTTTCTATGACGTGATAATCACGTCATAATCTCGACGTCGAGTGAACGTCACTTAAAAGGGTAAAATCATGTGAAGAAACCGTTAAGTTTGTGACGTACCTTTATATACAGGATGGACACTTTCAGTGTCGAAAAGTGTTCAGAAAAAATCGTTTTCTTTCATTACTTTTACCCATTTATAGAAACATGTACGACTTGGTATATGTACAGTGTGACCCACTTCTAATGGAACCACCCCTGTATCTTACGTAATCGTTGGGTAAGGATCCTGAAATTTGCTGGAGCAAGAGATATACCAAAAATGCACTCTATGACCAAGTGAGGTCATCTTCAGTGATATACACTGCTCGCCAATAACAGCCATGAAACTACCCCAATTTCCGGAAAATGATATTAGGAGTCAAAATAGGTCGAAAATCACTTCAGATTTGGAATCAGGACGCCCAATTCACTAACTATTCAAATTTTTCATGGAAAATTTTCAGTTCGGAAAAATGAAATTTTGTCGCATTTTTCATGGAAGCACCCCGTATCTCACGTAATTGACTTTATCTTTGGAATTTCTCTTCCTCCGGCAAATTTCAGAACCCTACCTCAATAATTACGTGAGATACGGGGGTGCTTCCATAAAAAATGAGACAAAATTTCATTTTTCCGAACTGAAAATTTTTCAGGAAAATTTTGAATAGTTAGTAAACTGGGCGTCCTGATTCCAAATCTGAAGTGATTTTCGACCTATTTTATTGACTCCTAATATCATTTTCCGGAAATTGGGGTAGTTTCATGGCTGTTGGCGAGCAGTGTATATCACTGAAGATGACCCCACTTGGTCATAGAGTGCATTTTTGGTATATCTCTCGCTCCAGCAAATTTCAGGATCCTTACCCAACGATTACGTAAGATACAGGGGTGGTTCCATTAGAAGTGGGTCACACTGTATATGCTCATAACGACGATAGAAGTAACTCATCAAAACAAATCAACATGCGAGTTTTATTGGAATTATATGTACCCAAAAAGTTAGAAACCTTTTTTTAAACTATGACACCCTGTATATCTCGGAAACCGATCAAGCTATATATGTATATACAGTGTGACCCCTGTATCTTACGCAATCGTTGGGTAAGGCTCTTAAAATTTGCTGGAGCGAGAGATATACAAAAAATGCACTCTATGACAAGGTGGGGTCATCTTCAGTGATATACACTGCTCGCCAACAGCCATGGAACCACCCCAATTTCCGGGAAATGATATTAGGAGTCAAAATAGGTTGACAATCACTTCGGATTCGGAATCAGGACGCCCAGCAATTCTCTAACTATTCATAGTTTTCCTAGAACATTTTCAGTTCAGAAAAATTTAATTTTGTCTCACTTCTGATGGAAGCACCCCCGCGTATCTCACGTAATTATTGAGGTAGGGTTCTGAAATTTGCAGGAGAAAGGGGAAGTCCAAAGATGAAGTCAACTGCGTAAGATACACGAGGGTGCTTCCGTAAAAAGTGCGACGAAATTTAATTTTCAGAACAGAAAATTTTCCAGGAGAAATATGAATAGTTAGTGAGTTTGGCGTCCTGATTCCGAATCTGAAGTGATTTTTGATCTGATTTGACTCCTGATATCATTTTCCGGAAATTGGGTTGGTTCCATATATGGCTGTTGGCGAGCAGTGTATATCACTGAAGATGACCCCACTTGGTGATAGAGTGCATTTTTGGTATCACTCGCTCCCAGCAGATTTCAGGATCCTTACCCGACGATTACGTAAGATACAGGGGTGTTCCCATTAGAAGTTGGTCACACTCTGTATATACAAATGATATAAATCGTCTCTTTTATAACGTTGCAGTGACGTATTGGTAAGCTTCGTCAAACATTTTTCAATAATTTGCTATTTAGATTTTTGTTGGGTGACAAATAATATGCATGAATATACACGAAGTTACCTACTCAAGAAAGTGAGGCTGAATTCGCCAACATCCTTTTCAATGCTATCAAACTATTCTTGGTTTGCTTACATCTGGCCGACACAAACTACAAAAAATTTTATAGATACGAGTAACTGATTTCATTTTGATGGAGATGCGTACTGAGGGATAGCGCTGCTGAATAGATCGACCTTTTTCATAACAGGCTTTCTGAACGAATACCTAGTTATACAAGCCATTGGGGGCATGGGTGGGCCGGGTAGCCGTGCGGACAGTGTCAATATTCTAATCCGCATTCAGTTGTCGCTCGTGGGTTCAATTCCCAGCGACTGCAGAAATTTTTCTGATGGCCCAAGAAAGTGTTTGGGATCACATGTTAAAAGGTAAGGCCACCGTCATCCCTTGCTCGCACAAGACTCTCAAAGACTTCTGAGGGTTGCTCGTAAGGGGGCAACCGAATGACGGATAGAACAATTTCAGAACAAATTATATATATTATTATTATAATTTTATAATAGACAGATATCACATCTCATGTAGGTACTTATCATATAATTCAGATCAGAACCCATCTGTAAGCACGTCACAATAAATGTATACTTCAATAGGCGGATACCCATTACTGGAAACTTCCAGTTTTTTTACAGAAAGATATTTTCTTCAGACATATTTTTTGTGTCGTTTTAATTTTTGATAAGTCTTGAGGTTCATTTGAAAATAAATAATATCTGATCTGATGAATCCTGTGCATTTTTGAAAATTAATCTAATTATAGTCGGACTATTTATTGATCACGGCTACACTGTATTCTTATTGTGAACAAACTGATATGTTGCTGGTCCTCGCTTGCTTTACAAGAACTCTCGCGTAACAAATTTTGTGATAACTATTCAGGACCTAAGATGAGAACTTTAACGCCTTCCCAGTTAACACAGGATATCTTATGGATATCCATTTCGAGTCCTATTCAAGGCGGGATATCCGTGGACATAAAATGTATTTCCATAGGATATTCGATTGTGGATGTACTTGAGATATCCGAAACAAATGTCCTGAATTCGTCCATAGGATATCCATAAGATACAGAGACAAAAGATGAATGCCTAGAAATTCCAAATCAAGTGTACATACAATGAATGAAATGATAAATAAATAAAATGAGATCCACAAAAGTAACACTTGTGCGTGGGTCTTTCAAAAGATAGCACATATTGTGATGCACTATCTGCTATTATTATTAATTTGGTTTTCAAAAACAGCGCGAGGTGGCGTAACGTCTCAAATAGTCCAAGATTGGTAGAACTGATGATTATTTATAGATCATCAATTCTACCAACCTTGGAATAGTCAAATAATGTCAATCTGTTGTCATATTTAATCAATTTCAAGTGAATTTGAAAGTGATTTCTACGAATTCGTCCAAAATTGATGATGCATAAGAACTGACAGCAACATTATTATTCGCAGTGAGACGTGAGTGCTTCCCAAATTTTTGTGAATTCTTCTATATCTCTTATCCATATCCATAGTTGATATCTTATATGGATATCCACAATGATAAGACATCGTCCATAGGATATACCAGAGCCTTTTTGGATATCTTATGGACATCCACAATATCCATGATGGATATCCATAGTATATCCATGAGATGTACTTGTGCTATCTGGGTTGTACCAACTCAACGAAACGATTTTGGATATAGGTAAGTCGACGAAAATCAACTTATTTTTATCCCAGGAGTCTACAGTCAAGCCATGTTTCAACCGGATCGTTTTTTTTTAAATGCATAAGATACCACAGATCAGAAATTATTTATTTACAAATGACCTCCGAGACTTAACAAAAATCAACACGATACCAAAAATATTTCTGAATGGAATACCTTTCTGGAAAAAAAACTGGAAGTTCCGATTCTGACCTCTGAAAAGTTATTGGAATACTTGATGATGATCAAAAACCTCTCGAAACATGACTTTCAGTCAGAGAACATGGCATGCCAAAAATTATGGAAATTATGAGCAAGATTATTTTTCCAAAAAAACTTCAACGCCTTGTATCAACTCAATGAGACGATTTTGGATATAGGTGAAATGGCCTCAATCAACTTGTTTTTATCCCAGGAGTCCACAGCCGAGCCATGTCCCAACATTTTACAGACAACCCTTTAGAGTGGGTGTTTCCTAAACTTTGGTAACATTTCAGTAAGTGTTTCCTATGAACACAATCAGCAACCCCATTGTTTACTATTCCCTGATGTACAGGCGGGTGATTCACCATAAATGTCCCCCCCTCTAGCTCGCTTATTTTTGAACCGTTTTAAAAATTTGAAAGATAATCTAAAATGATTTTTCTGAAATTTTTTTCCCGTTGCATCAGAAAATACAGGGTGCTCGGAACAAACGATCTACAGAGTACTAATTGATTTTTTTAAATGGAACACCCTGTATTTTATTGTATTTTTAGATTCTTCCTGAAGAGCTGATTTCATCAATGTATCACACTTGGGGTTTAGCGGGAATGATTACAGAGATATAGGATGTTCAAAATCGAGATGTTTCAACTTTAGGATTTTTTGTGCCGAAACTATTCATTATTGGTCAAAACGGCTTCTATGTTCCCATCCCAACTTTCGATTTACTATCTAGTGAAATTTAATTGGAACATTTACAGGGTGGTTCAAGATTCAGAATTCTGGTCACCCTGTATCTGTTCCAATTAATAAATGTCAGTAGATAGTAAATAAAAAGTTAAGATACGGACATGAAAACCGCGTGACCGATAATGAATAGTTTCGTCACAAAAAAAATCCTAAAGTTGAAAAAAATCGATTTTGAACACCTTATATCTCTGTAATCAGTCCCGCTAGACCCCAAGTGTGATACATTGATCAAATCAGCTCTTCAGGGAGAATATAAAAATACAATGAAAAATAGGGTGTTCCATTTAAAAAAATCAAATAGTACCCTGTAGATCGTTTGTTCCGAGCACCCTGTATTTTCTGATCTTGCGGAAAAAAACTTTATCGAAAATCATTCAAGATGATATTTCAAATTTTAAAATCGGTTCAAAAAAAACTGAGCTAGAGGGGGGGACATTTATGGTGAATCACCCTGTACACAAAATACCTTTATTGGTGTGATTGATAACTGAAATGGGAATCAGTTAAATCTAGATAGAAAAAACAATAAACAGATTTATCAAGAAATCTTTCTGTATTTAAAATAAATTATATCTAACAACAAATAATAAATGACCAATACACAATTTGTACTGCATGAAGATGAATGAAAAATGTAAAATTAGAAACTAGTTACACCATGGACATCCATACAATAAAACTAGTTATAGTATATCCAATATCAATTGCAGAATATCCCGCTCTGTGCGGCGTCGGCGTGTTTGAAGTTTCCTTTGAAGTGACTGCAGGTGCGGCACAAGATTCTGCAATTGTTTTTGGATAAACTATACACCATGGACATCCATACAATATAAATATCATGTCGTTCAAAACGCATCCATGTAAAATATACAAAGAAAACAGAAATATTTTTCTTCATTTTTCAATTACGTTTTATTACAAAAAATCGTTTCACACTTTATACAAAGTGATAAACTTGTTGAAAATAAATAATAACTGGTGGCCTGCATACATACAAACAAAAAAATCGCCAGGACAGTTAGTATTCATTCAACAAAAATCACAACATCAGTCAAGCCTGCTGGGCTCTGTGACATCTCGATTCATAGTCCAACTAGAACAAAAGGGCACCAACGCCGCCCATCTCGCTCTGCTCTTTAACGAAAATCTCGAAATACTGGTAAATAATCGTCACCGCCAACAAAATACCAGTACCCGAACCGATCGCCCCCATAAAGTCAGCCAAAACCGACAAGGCCCCGATGCAAAGCCCCCCGAAGGCAGCCGCCGTGGGAATGTACCGATTCAGCTCGTGGATCATCGAGTTGTCTCGGTGCCCCCGCATCACCATCTGCTGTTCCTTGAGCTGTTTTGCCACATCCTTCGCCGAGCTGCCTGAAACCTCGATCCACGTTTTCGAGAAGAACGCGCAAGACCCCAACATGAACACGATGTAGAGCAGAGCGTGCACCGGGTCCTCCAGGATGTGGCTGACGCTTTCGGGCGGGGACAGGTAGTAGCAGAGCCCGCCGATGGGGTAGGAGCGGGCGGGTCCACCGCCGCCCACGTCCGCCCACACGCCCAGCAAGTTGATGAGGAAGTTGCCGTGGAACTTGACAGCCAACATCTGCGAGATGACGTACAAGTTGGAGACCAGGGCGGACTGCAGGATGATGGGAATGTTGGAGGTGTAGAAGAGTTTGATGGGGTAGCTGGAATACTGGCCGCGATACCTGAAAACAAACTCAAATTTTGAGGATCTGAAAACTAAATACAGAGAAGTGCACAAAAAACGGACAAATATTTCACTGAGGAAGCTCGATGTGTACTATTGAATGTCACTAATAAAAACATTTAGGGATCGAAATGAGATTTGAGGTTAAGACCTCTTTTTCCACCCAAAGTACTACACTGTAGCAAATCTGACGTCACCTCTGTTCAAATTTCCATGCGGTAGGCATAATCACGCGGGAGTTCAATCATTTAAATTGTTTAAAAGTGGCGTACTTGATTTTTTTCTCGTATTTTGTCTAATTTTTGGGATGGATTTTCTCGTTAAATAGAAGAATTAGAAAAAATCTGATATCATGGGAGTATTCCTTAAACTGTATCATATTAATATGCTGAATATGTGCACTTATTTCAAAAACACCTTGTATACCCTTGAAAATCAGAATAGAATGTACAAAGAGGAAAGAAAAATTATGTGTTTGATTTATTGTGAGACATATTCATTACACGAAATTTGCGAAAAATAACTTGTAATATTATATATTTGATCTATTTACACTAGTATTGCTTAGACTGTGATATTTTATTCATTTTACTTTTGACGGCAATTTACATAACGGGGTGTTTCCTAACTTCTGAGACAAAATGAAAGGAGTAAATCTTTACTTACATGCATTTGAGTACAAAATAAAAATAATGTCACTATGTTTTCAGAATACAAGGTGTTTGAATGTGGTTCATATATTTTTTTCAAAGACAAAGCATTATTCAAAAACTGTTTACACCATATTTTCACCTGGAAAATAGGTCATTGTTGTAAGACATTTAAAAAAGAATCATTCCGTGTTTTTTTATGGTTTTTGTGTGCTCCATGGACATGCAATAAAGTGGTTATCTTTTATCTGAAGAAAAAGCTAGATACGGAAACACCTTAAGAGATAAAAATGTGTTACATTAGTTGCTTAATCTGAAAAAAATAATGAAATTACAGAAAGTCAGTGGGGTGTATGTTATCAATAATATTGGTGAGGTGTCCCTCCAAACACCACTGTACTTTATATATTTTTTCTAATAGTGGCTAAATGGCCCTTTATAACTATAAATAATGTTATCAAATTCCAACAAAATTGGGTGAAGCCCAGTTAAAATCAAAAACCGATTTAAAAACAAAATTTGAACACCTTTTATTTTCAAAACTGAGCAACATGGGGAATAACACTTTTTCATATTTTCATCTTAAAAATGAGCGAGGATTAGCTTTTTTCACTTTTTCAGAGAGGTTAGGAGATATCTTGTTTATTTATTTTTATGAGTACCTATGTAATGACTCAAGTTTCTCAACTGTTCTAAATTGAAAGCTTCACTAAACCCATCTTACAACCTACCTGGCACTCTTTATCGGCAAGTCGACCCGGAACCCTTGGAAGTATATCACTATGGCGAAAACAAGAACCGTAGCTAGCAAGTTCATCAGATTAGGAAGGTTCTGTCTGTAAAACGCCTCTCTGAGTCCCCTGATCTTGTCCTGCCTAGTAGCCAGCAAGTGGAACAAGGCGATCACAGCCCCCTCAAACTCCGTGCCCCTTCCGGTGTTCACTGTCGCCGGAGAGAACGCCTTCCAGATGATGGTTTCGCAGATGTTGGTGGCGATGAAGAGGGAGATTCCGGAACCAAGGCCGTAGCCTTTCTGGAGGAGCTCGTCGAGCAGCAGGACGATCAGTCCCGCCACGAAGAGTTGGATGATGATGAGGAGACACACTCCCGCGCCTATTTCGGCGGGGTCACCGTACATGCCTGTCATTACGTAGACTATGGCTTGGCCGACTGTGATGACCATGCCAAACACTGAAATTGATTGGTTGATGGTCTTTATTACCCCAAGGTACATTACATATTGTTTACAATAGGGATATACTGGGTGTAATCTAATCATTTTACGCCTACCGTCCTTTCAAAAGGACTTCAAAACGAAACCTGTATATTTCTGATTCAGCTGACGGTTTGAAGAAGTCGCCAGTGTCACATTATATTTAGATGACATCTCAAACATGGTTAATCGCGATCGTCAGGGTTTTGTCAAGTTTTGGATCGATGGTGACGGTTGAGTAAAGCTGTGTTTCTAGTGATTTTGCAATGAGTGACTCAAGGTTAGACATGTTACAACTCGTTTATTTTTTCGTTGTTGTTTTGATGATTTTCAACGAATAACATAATTTACATACACTTTATTTGATTTTGTGGTTATATTTCACACTTCTCGATCAATACAGAGGCGTTCAATTCAACGAGTCCTTTTAAACGGACTACTATGCGTTTTACCGCCCCGGTAACGTTTTTTTATATGTTCTGGTTCCCACGAAGAGGGATATCCTGTAATTTTTAGAGAATGTGTTCCAGAGACTCACTGTTCGTTGGATGAACGAGTCTTTGGAAAGAGATGTTCTGTACTGCAGCCGAGATGTACTGCTTTATAGGAGGGAATATACAACTGTTCCAAGGCGACATATGTGTAGGCAAAATTGCAACGATACCCAGAATAACTTATATATGAGCCGCTATTTCTAGAGATAGATTTTAATTCCATATGAGCAATTTTCATTGCAGTGATAATACCCTTGATAAAAATGACAAGTACTCTTAACTGCGTCCTCTTTTCAACAGCCTGAAGAAAGTTTTTTGATTATGAACCAGTTGAAGAGAATCACAGCTTTGATGAGGCTATGATATAGTATTTTGTTGCCTATCATACTGATTATTTCAAAAGTTTTAAGTATTTTGCTAAGCATTTTGTAAGATATAATATGCACATATTTATCTCTATTTATTTTTCAAATGGTAGCCCTTTATCCTTCTGTCCTTTTAAAAAGACCGCTGTTTTTTCCAAAACTGGAAATCAAATTTTTTTCATGATTTTTTCTCGACTTATGTGATCTTCTATTAACCGTTTTCAAGAAACAATACAAAATCGGAAAAAAATAGTTTCAGGGTCAAATGGGTTAATTCATGGCTGAAAATATAGGACATGGTTCCTTATCTCACTTTGAGAAAAAAAGTGTTTCTTTAACGCTTGATGCACACGAAAGGTAATCCCGATAATGCTCGAAGAACATCGTGCGTACCTAGGAAGGATACTGAGGAGGTAGGGATTGGAATTTTTGTTGAAGCTTTGGAGATTATAAGCTCTCGGAAATAATTCCTCAGGCAATAAATTCCAGAGCTTTCCCATTCTGTAGAGAAACGAGTTTTGATAAAGTGCTGTTCGACATATTTCGAAGTTGACAACGACTGCTGATTGAGCCCGTTGAGCTCGTCTGGCTGGTATTTCTAGTCTTGAAATGATAGCAGGGATTTCTGAAGAACATTTCCCTTGGAGAATATGCCCCAAACCCGACCCCAAACCTCTTAACTTTCGAGTTTTTTGCAGATGATAGTGTAAACGAGTAAATGTCAAACATGATAAAGGATGAAACTTTACCAATTAATTGTTTTATGATAATATTATCAGTAAAAAAAATCATCTGCTGCCACCTGTTTCGTAGAATGATGTACTCCTGCCATGGACCTTTCGGACCTTATGATGTGGAAAAAAAGTGTCCCAGAACAACGTACCATAAATTCTACAGGGTGAACAAGAAACCTATATAGGCCGATCGAAGTCAACTTACCTCTATAGGAAAATGTAACGTTGAGCTGTGAGACACTGAACAATACTTTTATTTACGGATTTTCTTGAATATTTCAAAATTCTTGGAATTCTAAAATTCGTAGGGCGATTCACGTAAATCATCGTAAATGTGTATGAACAACATGGTATACCAATTTTATCAATATACAGGGAGACAGATTTTTCGCATTTTCTTTGATAATGATTATAGTACGCCACTGACCGCATTTGGATATTTCAATGAACGACAAAATCAATTATCTTACTTTTTTTCTTACTGCAGTTTTTTCATAATTCTTCTTGGTTTTCAAAATGTCCAACAAAATTCATTTTGGTGCTTCTCCATACCTATCATGTTTTGCATTATGGTGCATTATTTACCACAATATTCATGTATTCCATTTCACAAGCTCATCACCATATTATGGTCTGGAAGCTGATCATTTTCAAATTGATTTTTTTTCTCGCAAAACTACTTTATTGAAAAAAAAAATTAAGATGTCCAGACCCGAGTAGTTCATGAACATGAAAAATTCGCAAAACATAATCCTGACACATCATAAACAAGTATGAAGTACCACCAAAATTAAATATTATAAGTGGCGTACTCCAAAAAAGTTAGATCAATTTTCATCAAGGAGAATGTGAAATATCATTCTCCCTGTATATTGATGGAATTTGAATAACATTGCCCTATTATAATCTTTGGAGCAGTACCATTCAAGCATTTTGAAATATTCAAGAAAATCTGGAAATAAAAATTCTTGAGTGCCCTTTCATAGCTCAACGGTTCATTTTCATATACAGGGTGTCCCATAAGTCATGGACCAAAAGAAGTGGGGTGGTAGGGAGGGAAATTTCCAATCAAATAAACCATATATGAGGTTATCCAATTGTGGATGGTTAAAAGTTATCAATTTTCTTAATTTCTGTAAAAAAAATAATTCCAATAAAACTATGTCTAATTTGTGTTTTTTCTTCTACAAATTTCATACATGTGGATGAAGCTTTCCCCAGAAATAATTTCATGACATCTGTTACTTCTTATCAATAACCTTAGAAGAATGTTGTTTTCCTTGTGTTTTGTCATTTGATGAAATATTCAAGTTGATTTTTGAATGCAGCTGGCAGATTCAAAAACTACCCCACAAAGATAAATAATTATTAGAATAAGTTGCCCATTTGATACAGATTCCGAAATGGTATAACATATGGGGTTATTCAAAACAGCACTTTTGTTACAAATTTTTTCAAATGGGTGGCGTTTTTCAGAAAAATTGACCCATCAAAAATTTGATAACCACATATTATACCGTTGGTTTAGTTACAAATGACCTCCCCTACCACCCCACTTCTTTTGATTCATGACTTATGGGACACCCTGTAGAGGTAAGTTGATTGCAATCAGCCTATTCAGGTCTGTAGTTCACCCTGTAGAATTTATGGTATGTTGTTCTGGGACCATTTTTTTACATCATTAGGTCCTTAGGCTAAAATTTAGAATGTTGGTTTATGGGAACAAAAAACCATCAAAATTATGATTTCTATCAATCCATAAATGTAGAACTTTGCCTTTTTAATTTAATTCCATATAGTTTTTATAAAAAAAAATTAGGCCAATTAAACATAACTCATTCTTTAGAACAAACATGAGCATTTTTTATAATCCATTGAAATTTAATTTCTGAAAATCACATAAAGGAACTCTCATGATGATAGGGACACCTGTTTCTTGGATGGAGGCTATATGATTTTTGATGGATTATCAATAGCAAATTGAATCCAAATAAATTAAATGTGAAGGTATACTCAATATATTTTGGAAACTCTCAATCATTTAATCATCTAATCCATATCATTTTAATTTGATGTTACATGACTTTTGTCTGAATCATAATTCAAGTAATTACCAGCATAATTTAATTGTTTTTTAATTATGCACACAATTATTATTCTTAATGGTATCATTAGAAAGTTTCTTCTTCTTCTTGGTAAGAGGACTAACAGCAAAATTATATCAAGGTTATTCTTAATTTGAAAAATAATGCCAAACTACTGACCACTCACTATCCTGTGCGACTTTGATAAAATAATTTGAATGTTATCAAAAGATGATTGCCAGATTTTTGTATGTAATTTGCCATACTGTGGAATTCAAAAAATGTAATATCCAGTAAATTCTCTCAATTCAACCTTCCTGTATAGTAAGTAGTATGTGATTTTCAGCAACAATTTATCATGGATCTCAACTTTTTTGTTTGGGGTATTACTTTATACACAAATACAATACAAATTCAAATAAAGTTAGTCATTTTGTGGGTTGCTGAACATAATTTTTTGAATATTTCAATCATGTAATGATGCCTGGTATTGATTCAGAAGAACATTATTCCAATTTTTCATAAATTTTCATCAACTATAATTCAGGAATTGAGCAAAATCTGACAAAACAATCTCACATTAGCAGGGTTAATATCATAGGTATATATTTGAAGTAATCAAACTGAATACAAACTTAATCAATGAGCAAGAAATGTTCTAGAATTTTTAAACTGAGAAGTCATGAAAACTTATCACATATGGTGTAAAAATTCTAAATTTGATATTCCTGTGTGAAACAAGATACTGCAGATTGAAGTCCACAACATCCCAAACATTACAGGATAACATTTAATCTGAATTAGAAGAAATTCAAAATATCTGGAACTTGTGCATGTGGAGATTAAAAAATGACCTAGTTTTTCTATCCCTGAAGTTGGAACAAAATCATTTGATGATATATGAAGACTTACTTACATTTTTGTGCACCATTGAACAGAGCTCTGTCTTTTGGAGTATCACCAACTTCAATAATCTTTGCACCAGCTAACAGTTGCATGATTAAACCAGATGTTACAATTGGCGAAATACCCAGTTCCATAAGTGTACCTCTATTTGATGCAAGAATAACACGAATCCAGTAGAAGGGGTCTGCAGAGTCCGAACTCATTATACCAAACAGAGGGATCTGTGAAAAATTGAAATGGATGAAATGATGTCTAGAAGTGAGTGTGATTGTTCATTTTACCTGACAGCATACTAAGAAGATAAATAAAGTTATAGCAGTCCATAGTACTTTTTCTCTGAATTGAATCTGGAAAGAAAATATGCCACATGTACCATAACACAGCTGTTCACAAAATATGAATGAAAAATTGAACAGATTTCAGTCATTTTGAGGAGAGATGAATGTAGTAAGGATTTTCTCAAGTTTTCCAGATGTTTTTTTCCAAAATGTGTATGAAAAAGTACATAAATATGATAAAATTCAAGGCGGTACTCACTTTTCTTTCAGGCTTCCCTATTTCAGGTAAAATGCTACAGAAAGGCTTAATAACCTCTAGAAATTTAACTGAAAAAAAAAATTGAATTTAGTGAATGTTTCTCATACAACTATGGTGAAAATGTTATAAAGGTGGACGCAAGAATGATGAATTCTAAAAAAGCACAAACTTGTGATAGGTTATAAAATGGAATCATTAAATATAAAATCTACTTACTCCCCATTTTGATGGGTGTATAGAAGACACTTATTCACTAATAATCTAATAAATAATCACAGTTATTTCTTATTACACCCTTCCAAAGATGTCACGTCGCTTGTGCGGCCACTCTCCAAAGAAATTACGGTACTTTTCAACTTTCGTTTGAGAATTTGGCAGACACGTCGTACACGTAGCACAGCATTCTGGTCACGTGATCGATGATGCTGGCGACTTGTGTCAAATGAGCAAATGAGACAGCGTGACAGCGATGAGAGAGACCATGACACGGACTCGGCCGACACACCGCCACGTACACACGCTTGCTATGTTGGTTGTCTAATCACAAACAAACCAGGCGGATAAAGATGGTGATATGATGGAGATAAGTTGATGGTGCATGTACTCGGCCAGTGTAACGTATCACTAGACTGCTCACCATGATTTCTTTACGTCACATCGAGTGAGATGTTACATCAACTTTTTTCCGCTAGATGGTGATGCTGCTATTGCTGCTCGTGACGAGTCAAAATAAAATGACAAATGGCATTTTAGGTGTGTGGAACATATGTAAAAGTGGTTTTATTTCACCTGAAATTCAGAAAATCTGCAGGAATTTCGAAATTGACAGACGTTATAATTGTGCAATGTCGCCATCTATTGAAAGATCGCCAAAACCATTGTCCTCGAAAGGTTGAGAAGAATTTCTAAAACCTAAAACAAAAGCACTTCAGTAAATACACCATTATTTATTTCCATCATCGAATATGTATGATGCACGTATGCACATATTTTAGACGACGATTTATCCAGTCAATTCTCCCCTCAATCTGAGGAAAAGAATGGCAGTATATACACTCTGACTTACATAATATCGTGGTAGTGAATAAGTAGCAATTTTAAAGAATAAACGATATGCAGCTGCAGTCATAATAATTATTTTGAATTGGCTTTTTTCTTGTTTGTGATTCATTTGAATACACTAGACATTTTATTTGTCCCCAAAGATAATAGACGAGAGGCTGACCTCGGTGGCCAAAGAGCTGATGGACCACTTCTTGCAATGGTGATGATCAAAGTTGTTATTCTATTGCTTATATAACTACTTACCTATCGAGTTTCCGACAAAAGTTCATGAGGCACATCCGACGTATAATACTCGTTGAAATAATAAATAAACTCTCTATGAACATATACTTTTAAACGCTTCAAGTTTTCAAAAAAAAGTCGATCATTTATTGATTTCTCAGAAATGCTATGACCGATTGTGATGAAATTCACATCTATTGTGGAAATATCAATGAGCTAACTCTTAGACCTATTACAGTTCATGAATGAGTTACATATTTTCAGGGGCGTGCATTTCAAAAACAAATTTTTTGCCCTCTTAGATTTCTTATCTAATATAGCTTCGTTTCAGAAGGAAAAATAAAAACCAAACCTATGCATGTCTCTAAACGTAATGAAAGAAACATTGTAATGCATTAAATCTAGTTAGCATTGGCCGTCTACCAAACCCATCATGTAACCATTGCAAATCAATCGTTTACGTATTAGAAGAGTCACAACGGGCCATAGACCGCAGTGGATATCCTGCTATTTGTCTTCAAACATCTTCAAAACAGTGAACAGTGAGCAACTGGAGCATAGCCTCCTTTTTTTATTGATATCACCTAGTATTATTCAACTAAAAAATGTTATAAAATCTTACAAGCGAGCTTTTTTCATTGAAACTTGAAAAATAAATAGAAAATAATTACCCGAAAAATTTGTGTAATTATTACCTTCGCCACCCCAGATTCAGCCGCAACTGAATAGTTTTTATGAATAACTTTTATTTAATCTAATAAAGCTCAAAAAGTTCAGTATCTGTGAAAAATTTCGTTAAATCATCTACCGTTTCTAACTTTTGATTAAAAAAATATATTCAGAAGCGTATTATTGACACCCAATATCTCAAAAACGAAGCGTTTAAAAGTATATGTTCATAGGAAGTTTTTTTATTATTTCAACGAGTACTATATTCTGTTGAATTTTCCGTATTAAAAAACGGACCACCTTGTATATGTGAAAGGAATATTGAGGAAATTGTTGTAAGCAAACTAGAAAATCATTATTGGACATAGCTCTCAGGAAGAGTTGACCGCAGACACGTGTTTCGGGCATTCTGCCCTCATCAGTACGGTGAAACAAAGTGCAATGAGATAGACAACACTTGCAGAAAGACGGCCCAAAATTCATTTCATTCGATGTACAAAACCTATTTCCAAGTAAACATAATTCAATAAAAATGAACTGAAACACAAAACAATGATCTCATTGACGTAGCTACAACATATCTAGGAGTAGTCGTGGTACTTCGTTAGTATGTATGTACATACAAACTAGCCATAAATCTTACGAGAGGTCCTTATTCAGCACATGTGAGTTCTGTGCAGGCTTTGTTACTAACTCCACACGCCACTTTAGGGATAGCACTGTTAATCGGAACGCAACAGCGAATCGTGCAAAATCGCATCTTCGGCACAACATATTTATTTGAATAGAACAAAATTACAAGATAGTCAAATATATGCATGAGTAGGTGCTCAAACACTGAATCAGAAATCTCCAGCAAACAGAGTAAGAATAAAGAGTCCGCGTTGATTTTTTTGTTTCTCAATTTCCTCAACAATCTCGCCAACATTATACCAAAGAATGTCATCCCTTAATATTCTTGTGCTCTTTTATTTCTTCACTAGGCAAAATATCCTCGATGTTATAATTTTCATATCTAGCCCCATCTGTAAATAAGATCATTTCACCATTATTCGAGGCTTCTTCAATTTTTTCATCTTGCAACTCTTCCTTTTCAGCCTTTTTCTCCTTCCGCTTTTGTTTGATCTCTTCTTCTTTCTGTAGTTCGATACAGTTGGATATTGTAATCTTTTAGCATTGTTCTATTGAGAAAATAATGTACCAGCTATCGACTTACTTGATACCAAACACCGAGACACATATAATACATCAAGTCTCTACCTTCTTCCCAGACAGCACCAGATATTCCATGAATCTCCTTATCATATTCCTTTTGAAATATTAGAATATTCTAGGAATAATCTGGAATATTCCGGAATATCTGTGGAATATTCTCTAAATATGCGAATGGGAATTCCTCAGATATTCATAGAATATACCCAAGAGAATATTCTATGTTGAATGTTCCTGGAATATTCTAATAAACATATTCTGGAATAAAAAAATTGACCCAAGTAGGGATCGAACTCGCGACCTCAAGACTATGCCTTGACCACTAGGCCAGTAATAGAATTGAATAATGTTGTACATATCAATTTCTTATGAGAGCGTCGTTCGAAATCGGATCATAAACACTTTTTGTTTCAAAATCCCCTTACATCTAATTGATGTTTGATACTTACATCTCTGAAATAATGATTGGTATTTATGTGTTGGGAAACATTGGAATATTTATGGAATATTTCATGAATATACATCACAGAATATTCTGTTGAGAATATTTCATGAATATACCGCACAAAATGTTCAGTTGAGAATAATTTATGAATATACCCCACAGAAAATTCAGTTGGGAATATTTCATGAATATACAACAGAGAATATTCAGTTGGGAATATTCCTAGAGAATTCATACCTGAATATTCCCTGAACATATCCGACTATTCACTTTGGAATATTCCTTTTAGATGTTCCAGAGGTATGTATATATTCCAGGAGTAATCGATGAATATTCGGAATATACTCCTCCTTTTTAGCATATTTAGAGAATATTCTAGGAATATATTCAGTGCTGTCTGGGTTAATGAAGCTTAAAATTGGATGTCGATAACTGGTACCTTCAGCTTCAACTTATTATAATTTCTCATGAATTTTTCATACAAAACGAGACTGATGTTTTTCTGTTTTATTTGAATATTCATAGGAAAAGAGAAAGCTGTATTGTACTATTTAAAGACAGAGCTATGGCGATATACAGGGTGTTTCGAAATTCGACCGACAACGCTTGACAGGTGATAGCCCTCGTGATTTCATAATCACTGAGATAGGGACAGACGGTCTTGAAGTGTTCAGTTCTCGAGATACAGGGCGTTGAAGTTGAGAAATTTAAATAGTTTTTTCGCAATATCTCAAGAATAATTTAATATAATGCATTCAAATTCGGTATATGGTTTCATCTTTCACTGATTAATTTCTTGACCAGAAAGACATTCCGAGAATTTTATCCAGAGATGCGCTACAGAGGGTTGTGATAACTTTTCCCCCCATATTTTCTACGCCACTGATGAAATTTCAATTATTTCCAATTTCTCGAATTGTTTGTTCAGTTATGTTGAAAAAATGCATCACCTTCAACTGAGCTAAAATGAACAGTTATCGGGATATTTGACCCAAAATAGAAGTATGCATAGTAATTTTTCATCTTCCTCGGTAGTAAAAAATTACGAAAATTTTTGTTTTCTCTTCATGTGTGGAATAACTATTTCTGTTCAGCTATGGAATGAGATCTGAATAGTATCTAATCTACTCAACACCAGAAAAATATTTTTGCAATTTTCTACTACTGAAAATGATGAAATATTACTATGCAATCTTCTATTTTGGGTCGAATATCTCGAAAACTGTTTATTTCAGCTCAGTTGAAGGTGATGCATTTTCTGAACAAAATTGAACAATGAATTCGAGGAATTGGAAATAATCGAAATTCAATCAGTGGCGTAGAAAATATGGAAGGAAAAAATGCCACAACCCCCTGTAGGGCACCACTGGACAAAATGTCCGGAATGGCTTCCAGGTCAAAAAATGGCCCATTCAAAGATGAAACCATATACCGAAGTTGAATGCATTATATTCAATTATTCTTGAGATATTGCGAAACAACTATTTTCATTTCTCAACTTCAACGCCCTGTATCTCGAGAACTGAACACTTGAAGACCGAATGTTCCTATCTCAATGATTATGAAATCACGAGGGCTATCACCTGTCAAACGTTGTCGGTCGAATTTCGAAACACCCTGTATATACAAAGTTTGAAAATTCATGTACCAGTTATCGACAGTACAAAATAATGAAGTTATACTCATGTTATGTCAAATTATTGTGAAAAACATGAATTTTAGCTTCTTAAATATATATTGACAACCATCTCCATGATAGAGCTGAAGAATTTCAAACAAAAACTACCATAATCAATTCAGCTGTCTCTTAGCACTTTGAGAATGAGGAAATTGAATAATTCATATAGGGAAAGTAGGAAAAACCTACATGTTTCTCATTATGTTATGATA